TCAGCCTGCTCCGTCCAGTGGTTTGGGCTGTGCGTTGATAGATCACTATGTCAGTCAGTCAGTCACCTTTGAGTTTTATATATATAGATTTTCGACCAAAGTGGCGTATAAGAGATTTTTGTCTTTCTGCTGTAGATTTATATAAATTATTAAATTGAGAGAATACTTATCTATCTACACTTTAACTTGAGTAGCTACCTAATATATGTATTTTGCTATGTTTAAGGCCAAATCCGGTTTTAGGCGAACTAGTTTGTCTTAACCCAATATAGTTGGAAAAACCTTTAAATATATATTTTTTAGTGTATGTTTCTGCAAAGTCTTAAAGTTAGTTAAAGGATAGAAAGATACTGATATAGTGACGGGATAACCGAAAACTAAGAAAAAATTAAGGTTAACCTCCATAAAAAATACGCGATTGAATTGCCATTAAACGTCAATCTAGTTTGCCAAAAATCGAGTTTGATCCGTTACAATATCATATATGTACTTACATTCTTATAATTAATGTATGTTTAGGTAGTCAAAGAACTTGGCTGCCAATTAGAGGCGAAATTCGCTTGAACTCGTCTCTAAAACGGGAAGGAGTAAAGAATGTTCATGACGAAGATCAGGCGAAAATCGCCTGAAGTGTAAATTCACACTCCTCTCCAATATAACTACTGAATATTAGTAAGCAATTGTAAAAACTTAGGACATGATTGTGTTTCGAAATTATTGTGGGTATTTATCTTTCATTTTTAGTGTAATTTAGCAAATGTAAAATGACTATCAGCCAATTTGATTCCTGTCCCACAACCATTGCAAAATAATATGGTAGACAATCACTTAATTAAGTGTCGTATCGTGTGTTGTACGTATCCCTGCCCCCCTAGCATGAGTAACAAAACGCGATATGATAAAGCGATTTATCGACACTCAACTGTCAAACTCCATTGTAGTTTGACAGTTAATGTCGATAAATCGCTTTATCATATCGCGTTTTGTTACTCATGCTAGGGGGGCTGGAAAAAAGTTATTTACAGATATGACGCCTCCCTGTGATAAAATGTTGACGTTACTTACTTGGAGATTTGATGTGCGTGCCCTGTGAGAGGTCACAGTGGAAAACATAAGTTTTGTATACATAAAGAGTAACAGAAACTTTAAAAAAAAATGCAGCAAGGATAAATTTATAGCTGTTGTAGGTCGAACGCTACAACTCACCGAAAGTGAGCTCTCAGATGAAACGCCTCAATTACCATTTTATTATATATATCTATATATTACTGTATTTGACCAATTTATATAATTTTGATGAATGTTAAGATTTAGAAGGTAATTTGTAGGACTACATACAAAAATGTGAGCTCTCTTCAGTGACTACAAATCCAATCATATGGTGGGCCCTTTGTTCTTACGTGTTCAACACTACTGATAAAAATTTGTTAAACACAAGGTTCTTTGGCAAGCTATAAAACTTAGCAGAAGTATTCAAAATGCAACCCTGTGAGTACGAGGTTAATATATTCTACCAGTATAGAACAATAGACTCTAGTAAGCGAGTCGGTCGAAACGCTCAATAACCAATTACTGCGACACAGTTTTATAACTAATGCAGTTATTATCGATCACTATTGTTATTGTATCTTTGTTATGGTTTTAATAAATATTTCATTTCATTTCAATTCATGAGAAATATCAAGGCCCAACTCATTATAAAATGAAAATTGTTGATGCATTTTTTCCTTAACCAAAATTATTTGAATTGGTTAGATACAGTAATATGAAAATTGAGGCGTTCCGTCCAAAACTATGAAGCTACTTTATCCTTGTGGCTACGATTTTTTTCAAGGTTCTGCTAAATCTTTATGTGTATGAAACCTATGTTTCCCACTGTGGCCCCTCTAGGGCACGCATATGACTTTTACCCATAGACTAAGATTACCCCGGATTTCCTAATTAATTTACGATTTTGAAAGTTATTACGAAATTCAAACTACAATCCGAATTTTATCTAAAAGATGATCTATTACATTGAAAACAATAGGTCCAATTTCATAGATATTTCATACATATTAATACAGTTTTCTTGTTGTTAGAAGATCCTAAGTGCAATTAGGCATTATCTGTAAAGAAAGTTTGCCTGTTGTCATTTTAAAAGCGAATTATTGGTCAATTGGGTCAGAAATCAAGTTGTTCGACAGTAGGTATATACTCGTAGATGCTATGACAACTTCGAAGAGAATTCCACGGTGTCTGAAATATTTATTTATAATAGGTAGGTACTTAATATACTAATTATTTTATCCGTAACTTATTATATAGGTACGTGTTTGTTGTAGGTATAATGGAAATACCTTTTTTGGTATGACACCTAGTTTCGTATTGAGTGTTTTATACTATTATAGATACCTACTTAATTTAATATAGATTTAAACCTTAAACAAAGACTGCAACCGGAGAAACAAAAAAATCCCTTTTTTTCTTTAAAAAATGTCTACTATTTTTTTTATATTATGAGCATTTTTTGACCGACATTGGATTTTTTTATTTATCTGGTTAGCGGGATTATATTGTATTAGCCTTAGGATGATTCCTTTATACTATATTATGATCTATCTACACTGTTATTTATTCAATTTATTTATAAACATTTCAAGAAAAGGTTTTTATAAAAATAGTTCTAATACGCTCAATAGATGGCGCTGACTAGACAAATCAAAAGACTGATCAAGAGTTCTGCACAAACGACAAAATAAAACAAATAATTTAAGAAAATTTTGCTGAAAGTAAACGACATCCTTTGTTTTAATTTATATAATTGTTGATGATAGGTACTGGAGGCCTACTCTAATTCAACGAAAAACGAAATTTCGACCGAAACTTCGCACTTTTCTTACTATGTTTCTGCCCCCCTAACATGAGCACCGCGTTATGATATATATCGCGTTTTAATCACGCTCAAATGTCAAATTACTATGGAATTTGGCAGTTAGACGCAATAAAAAACGTGAAATAATGTAAATTGTGGTGGTCATGCTACGGGGACCGGTTCGTTTTTAATTATAACAATATTCGTCGTCGGAATATAGTTTGAGTTGTAGATTTTCCAAGCCTATTCAAAGAAAGCTTCAATTTGATAGTATAACGTTCAAATTAAGTATAACCTTAAATTCAATCGAAATTAAATTAAGTTTGAACTTCGTTATCGAAAGTTTGTTTCGAAAAAAGAGAGTAGACCCCCAGTTCTTATTAAGTCACTGGCCATCTGTCGAGTATGTAAGAACTTATAAATTTACGAAAAAACAAAACAGTATCATTTGCTACACAGTTAGGGTTGACAGGTCGCCAAACTTAATAGCCGGACAGACATTTGGGTAAAAAATCCGGACACCCTACATTATTGAGGATTTTGGGAGTCAGTAAAATTAGATACGTCAAAAAAAACTGTAATGCGACCGACCAGTCAACTCCCTTGCGCTCGGTCACGCTCGGCGCTCGCTCGTTTGCGAAATGTATAAAGCTTAACAAAAGCCGGACAAGCCTGACACCGTTTATTTTGGCCGGACACGCATCAAAAAGCCTATGTCCGGCTTTATTCGTGCGCCTGGCAATGCTATACACCGTGCATATTATAGGGTATTTATATTGCGTAATAATAATATGTTGACTTAATAGATTTTCTCCAATATGTTACAAATTAAATAGGTTCTGACTATTAAACTAATTAACATTTATACTTGGTGTGAAAAAGCAACTGGAGCTTAAAAATGATGTTTGAAATTTTTATATTTTCACATCTTTGTTATTATGGTGTCGACTCTGGTACGATTCTCTAAATCTAAACTTAAATTTGACAACAGTGATGTAGGTTCTGGCATGATTCTCTAAAGCTAAACTTTAATTTGTCAACAGTGCATCCTTGTCATTCTCTATACAGAATGAAAAGGTGATAATTGACCTTAAATTTAGTTTTAAGTTTAGAGAATCACGCCAGAATTGACACCAATGTCTCCTTGTCATTCTCTATACAGAATAAAAAGGAGAGACTGATGTTAAATTTAGTTTTAGGTTTAGAGAATCACGCCAGAATAGACGCCATAGGCTGTCTCTCTAAAAATGTTCCAAAAGCAATAGATTTAATAAATGTACTACAATGATGCCAATATTTAATAATGAGTAATTTGTATTGTGTGTCAGTGTTAAGTAGCTGATTAATATTCACTCTCATAAATTTGTTTTAGTTTTAATAAATTGTGCCATACAGGAAACGTAGTTTCTTTTCTTATTTAAAAATAATCATTGGTCACGTGATAATCGAAGAACGACTTTACCGAGTTTCTCCGTATTTTGATTAAAAGGTTTATGAGCAGAAAAATCGCATACGCGCATTCGCCCGGATTGCCAAGGGTGCGGGTTCGACTCCCGTCCGCTGCCTGGTCCGCGTGGATTTTTTTCTAGTAAAACTTTTCTTTAGATTTAATAATTATGATACATTAAACATGACTGGGTAGATGTTCTTGTTCGTTACAAAGGTCAATACATGTTCCTATTAAGATTCAAACCCAGAACTTTCGAACCTTGCGTGGCGTGGCAAGTCCTAATGGGACGCCACGATCACACCACACCCAAACACGAGGGACCTCGCCTTGAGTCTTGTGGGTTTTATTTAAAAAGCAATAAAACCATTATTAAATAGAATCGTTACTGATGATTTAAGTCAAAGCGAAAAAATAGTTTTACGAGTAACGGAACGCAGTCCTTTTTTTTATCTGTGGCTCACAAGATCCTTACGTTCCATTTCAAGCAAATGATCATCGAGATCATAACAAGAATTATATTGAACTTTAATTTTTAATATTTTTATGTAAAAATATGAGAATTTTATAACAGCTACTTAAATACCTTATTAGATAGCTATTCTCGAAAATGAAATAAAAATAATGAGTTAAAAATACGTTCCATTTTACGTTAGTAAATCACTTTACAAGCATCACGATAGTTGACATCAAACGTCAAATCAATCAACAAAACACCGCGACCGCGCTCTTTGGCTATTGGCTTTTTTCTTTAAAAGTGCTTTAATTATTGAATTTATCAGTGATATTCTTGCAAAAAGTGAAAGATGAGTGGGCCGAACGGTATGCTGTATGGCGGCGACGAAATAGGCGCGCTTGTGTTCGATCCAGGACACCATTCTTTAAGAGTTGGTTACGCGCAAGAAGATACTCCGAAAGCTGATATTCCAGCAGTAGTCGGTGTAGGGCCGGCCACCCACATCCCTGATGCTGAAGAGAAGGTTCCCGACGGCAACATCACCCAAAGCGGTTAGTTTTTAGGTTGTTTTGTACAAAATTCGATCGTCCGTGGTCGTTTAACGTTTTCTTGAGATAGGATTGAATTATTTGGTTAGTATTGTTCTTAATTTAGAACTGCACTCGTCATCTCAGTAATTTTCTGTAATAGTTTATAATGCGTAGTTATTCATTGATTATTGTCATTAATCAATAGTAACCTAAGTTATTATCTGCTTAGTAACGTTATTTTTAAGCTGCGTTTGGTATTTGCGTCTGATCATTCTTTTAAGTCTGAATTGTTTGTTTACTACATGTAGAGTAAATCTGATGCGTTTGGTAATTCCACTCTTATCAGTCTGATGTAAATCAGTTTGCTCGGAGTTTTTTGACCAACGAGAAAGAATAATCTGTTATCTATTATGTCGTGAGGTTTCATTCTGTTTGAGGTTAAAATGAATCTACTTTTGGTTGGTCTGTTTGGTAATAGTAATTTGCTCAGATTAATCTGTGATCTGGAGCTCAATGGCGCAAGTGTTTAGTGCGTTCAGCTGCGATCGTTAAACTTAAGCAACTTTCGCAGTGGTCTGTCATTGGATGGGTGACCAAAAGTAACTATCTCGAGCTCCTCCGTGCTTCGGAAGGCACATTAATGGTAACCTATGATTCCAGCTGCATCTGCATTTGTCGTTAGCACCCTCCAATCCGCACTGGGCCCAATCTCTCTATTCCATCCATAGGGAAGGCCTGTGCCCCAGCAGTGGGGACATTAATAGGCTGATGATGATGATGAATCTGTGATCACGTGACCAAAAATCTATTGCCTCTGCAAATCTAAATACTGAATGCAGTAATTCCCTGATTAGTATTGTGTCGTTGGGAGATATTTACATGCTGACATAGGTAGAATACACTAGTTAAGAGGTAATAGCTCACTTCTATTAGTCATGTAAACTTATTATAGTTTTGTTTCTATTATATATTTCCATAAAGCAAATGTTCAGTTACATAAATTTGAAACATTTTAGGAACAAAGGCTGGAAACGAGTTGCGTCACTATATAGATGTCACGGAACTGCATGTGCCCCGTCCTGGTATGGAGGTTCAGACTTATATGAAAGACGGACAAGTTGATAACTGGGACCTGTTTGAAAAAATGCTAGATTACTGCTATGCTAAGGTAAGGAATTATTCCCACACTCTGCCCTGCCCACCCTGCAAACGAGGTCTTAGTTAAACAGTTTACGGAGTATGTTTTAGGGTTTTTTTTTATGTTATTAGGGGCATACGAGCAGACGGCTCACCTGATGGTAAGTGATCACCGTCGCCCATGGACACTTGCAACACCAGGAGTATCACATATGCGATGCCGACCTTTAAGGAAGGAGTAAGCCTTTAAGGGTTTGGATGTTATCTGTTGTATTATGGGTTCCCAAGCTGGTGGTATATACCAACCATCTTCTCTATAGAAATTTGGATGTTTCTTAATCTCAATAGCGTCACATATCATCCTAGGAATGAATCATTGTTCAAATGCAAGCATCTGTGATTTATCGAATCTAATATAATGGTTTGGTCCCCCTAATGCTGCACACTGCAGGTTTATTTTCGGATCTTTTTTTTTAATTTATTTAAAGAACTACTAACAAAACAATAGACACTAACAAATTTACAATGGTATTTGCTTATACATATAATCTGAAAAGTTATTGGTTATTACAAACACAACATTGATGGTTTCATTTTAATTTCACAATGTTTTATCAATAAAGTGACAACCATTTAACATTTTATGTTTTAAATATAATTTATAAATGCATTAAGTAAGTGACTAATTTAACAAATGTGTAATGGATTAATCTTTGCTTTTAAAAGTTGATATTAAAAAGGAATCGTTAATGGTTTTAGCATATTAATAGATATTTTAAATTATCGCTTATCTATTAGACAAGTCCGTCTGTCTGTGGTGCTGTTTCAGCGGCCAAACCGTAAGAGATAGATAAATAGAATATTTAAGTTATAAGTTAAGAATAGTCTGATAAGACTACAAACCGGATTTGAGTACGAGGTTTTCGAGAAATCCGGTTTTGGTGAACATTTGGTTCACTGGTTTGCTAGTATAAATATAATAGGAAACAAGTATGAGTACTTTTACTGTTAAGATTTAGTTATACTTATATATTTAGAGTGGTTATAGGCTGATTTTAAGCGATACTTTATTGTATTGTGTCATTGGTGTCGACTCCGGCATGATTCTCCAATCTCAAAACCAAATCCAATATCAGTCCTTCCTCTTCATTTCGTGTAGTTGATGACAGGGATACAACTTCGCCGAACCTAAGTCTAGGCTTAGAGAACCATGCCGGAGACAACAACAAATGGCATTGGTGTCATCTATCTGTTTATTAATGTCCCCACTGCTGGTGCACAAGCCTTCCCTATGGATGGAATAGGGAGATTGGGCCATGACCCACCACACGGGCATGCGGATTGGCGGGTGCTAACGACTGCAAATGCAGACGGGACCAACGGCTTAACTAGCCTTCCGAAGCACGGAGGAACTGGAGATAGTAAATTTTTGGTCACCCATCCTATGACCGACCACTGCTGAAGTTGCTTAACTTTAACGATTGCAGCGGAATGCGCTAACCACCTGCGCCATTGAGGTCCTCCTATGCCTAGATAGAGCCTACGTTTCATATCTGACATATATGTGCACAGGTAATACGTTCCCCTTCTGAACACCACCCAGCTTTATTTACCGAAGCAGTATGGACTACCCGCCCTGCCCGTGAGAAGTTAGCCGAGTTGCTATTCGAGAAGTACCAAGCGCCAGCGTTCTTTCTCGTCAAGAATGCTGTTTTAGCAGCATTCGCTAACGGCAAGTCTACCGCTTTGGTTGTGGATGCAGGGGCTAGTCAGACGTCGGCCGTGCCTGTCATAGATGGGTGGGTATGCAATTTTTAACAAATAAACATTTAAAGAAAATATAACTAGAAAAAATTCCACGCGGCCCAGGCAGCAGACGGGACTCGAACCCGCACCCTTCGCAATCCGGGCGAATGCACTGACCAATTATGCTATCGCGGCCCTCACGGACCGCGTCAAAATTCTTCTAGCCATTCTTAAGGCTGATTCTTATTTCGTGAGGGCCGCGGTAGCATAATTGGTCAGTGGGGCTTAGCGCGTTTCATAATCGATTTATCCTATTTATCGGCATATTTCTATATTTATCGTTCTGAAACCTGTTTATTTATGTAAAAGGTCTCTAAAAACCTACTCAAACTTATTTTGTACCTAGTTATTATATCTTGATCTATTGGGCAAGTAAAAACACACAAAATAAAACCTTTATTATCAAATTTATAAATAACTTGTTATCGAAGAGAATGTATTCCTAACTTTCCGTCTTAATTGCGCCTAAAATACTATACTAACCTGTATAGAACTTCATTGTTTTTATTCCTACAACTATCTATTTATCTATATAAACTCAAAGAATAACAATTAAAACACATTAAATGGACATCGCGGACAAATCTCGTACGCATATCGTTACCAACTATCAAATTACGAATAGTTTCTCTGCGCCACCGCTCGTCACCATGGCAACCATTTTAAATGGTCCATTTATAGGGATTTCTTACTTTGGATCCTCTATTATAACAAAACTAAGACTTATTCTAACAAAATAACAATGAAATCGTATACAAATGACTTATAACTAACCAATCCATGTGAAATGACACTTATAGATACATTTTTCGATAGTTCATTATTCAAACTGTTTAGACGTCTCATTGCGCACGTAATGTTCATAACTTGTTATTTCCATGATAAGGCGGTCGTCTCCTACACAGGTACATAGGTATTAAGTGAATGTATAATATATTTCTTTCTTAGGTTTTCACGCACATCACTCAATAAATAAAACTACTTTTTAACGGGTTAATGCACGCACTTTATTTATTTATTGACGTTTCGCAGCCTTTTCAATAAAAAATCATTATTCTGACGATGCAGACCTGAAAAGGCTGCGTAACGTCAATAAATAAATAAAGTTCGTGCATTAACCCGTTAAAAAGTAGTTTTATCGAATGTTTAATGTTATCCATCTATATATATGTATGTGTGTGTGTCGAATAAATGTTTTGATTATGATTATGATTATTTAAGAAAAGAAGTTTCACTTCAGATGTGTCTTCTTATTATTTCAGGTACGCTTTAGTCAGTGCCGCAGTGAGGTCCCCAGTGGGCGGTGACCATTTGGCTGCCCAAGCCAAAACTATGCTTACAAACATGCACATACAAATGCTGCCCATATATAGCATACAGGTAACTATCATCTATACATAATAATAAAATGCTAGGAAAGTCAAAACTGTACATTGATTTTTTTTTAAAGAATACTTTGGGTGTGATCTACCATTGATACCGAAGCCAAAAGAATTTTTGTCTGTTTGTCTGTATGTATGTCCGGGATAAACTCAAAAAGTACTGCATGGATTTACTATTATATTACTTTGGGGCTAGGCTAATTGGTGTGTTATTTTTTTTTTCAAAAGGCAGGGCCTATTTAATGAGTACAAGTGAGACAGACTGATAAAAAGATTTGTGAATAATGATGCAATTGATATACCTGTAGATTGGTAAAAACACTACGTGTATAAAGCGCAGAAATACAATTAATAGGTAAAAATAAATTCATTCGGTACTGCTAAAACTGCCATGTTTAATTAAGGATTACTCAGAATGGACTAAGATTTGGAACTTGACGCCATAGTAACTTTTATTCAGCTTAAAAATACCAATCTAACGATGTCACACATATAGCTGTTGGAAGGGGAGATCTAAGTGGGACCAGGGGGTCAATCGCCTAAAGGGATTGCTTTGGGTAACGCTATCGCTTACGATTTCATTTTATTATTTCTGACCGCCGAAAGTTTTCAAATACCTTACGCTCATTGCCTTTTATATTGTTGTTACCAATACAAAAGAAAAAAAACGAGTGCGGGGCATTTGAAAACCTTCGGCATAAGACATTCAAAATTATTTTTAATTGAAAACGCGTAAAATACGTAGAGAAGAAACAGGTACGAAAATAAATAACTTTAAAATTTTGCATTGTTGAGTCAAGGTCAATAGTCTCTCACCATCATATGAGATTTTCTCCCATACATTTTTTTCGTAAATATTTTTTTACAATATGAAGGAGTCATTTTCATGAATAATAGTATGAAACAATATTAATCAGCATTTTATTTACTATCGATTACAATTTTTTAATAGCTGAAATTTGCAACTTTGGTCCTAAGTCCACTATTTTAAAAATCCGGACCACTGTGCGGCGGTCAGAAATAACATAATAAAATCGTAAGCGATAGCGTTAGCCATAGCAATTTCGTTAGGCAAATGGCCCCCAGGATTGGCATTCTCTCTTTGGAGCCTGTAAGTGCAGCCTTAGTTACTCGTTCTAAAATTGAACTTACCGCAATTCTCGACTTCCGAGGTCTTTTAGAAGGTTATAGAGATATTTTACTGGTACACCTCTCGCTCCTACTTCATTGGCATTCTCCTTAGGAGCCTGTAAGTGCAGCCTTAGTTACTCGTTCTAAAATTGAACTTACCGCAATTCTCGACTTCCGAGGTCTTTTATAAGGTTTACACCTCTCGCTCCTACTTCATTGGCATTGGCATTCTCCTTTGGAGTCTGTAAGTGCAGCCTTAGTTACTCGTTCTAAAATTGAACTTAGTGCAATTCTCGACTTCCGAGGTCTTTTAGAATCTTATAAAGATATTTTGCTGGTACACCTCTCGCTCCTACTTCATTGGCATTGGCATTCTCCTTTGGAGTCTGTAAGTGCAGCCTTAGTTACTCGTTCTAAAATTGAACTTACCGCAATTCTCGACTTCCGAGGTCTTTTAGAAGGTTATAGAGATATTTTACTGGTACACCTCTCGCTCCTACTTCATTGGCATTCTCCTTAGGAGCCTGTAAGTGCAGCCTTAGTTACTCGTTCTAAAATTGAACTTACCGCAATTCTCGACTTCCGAGGTCTTTTATAAGGTTTACACCTCTCGCTCCTACTTCATTGGCATTGGCATTCTCCTTTGGAGTCTGTAAGTGCAGCCTTAGTTACTCGTTCTAAAATTGAACTTACCGCAATTCTCGACTTCCGAGGTCTTTTAGAAGGTTATAGAGATATTTTACTGGTACACCTCTCGCTCCTACTTCATTGGCATTCTCCTTAGGAGCCTGTAAGTGCAGCCTTAGTTACTCGTTCTAAAATTGAACTTACCGCAATTCTCGACTTCCGAGGTCTTTTATAAGGTTTACACCTCTCGCTCCTACTTCATTGGCATTGGCATTCTCCTTTGGAGTCTGTAAGTGCAGCCTTAGTTACTCGTTCTAAAATTGAACTTACCGCAATTCTCGACTTCCGAGGTCTTTTATAAGGTTATAGAGAGATTTTGCTGGTACACCTCACGCTCCACTTCAACCGCATTTAAAATAACTGGATGGACCATTTTTAGTTAGTTCGTTGGTCAGGTCGTAATATTAAGTTTTAGTTATTAACGGGATTATTACCATGTACCTTGTTTTTAATAAAATCACTGGATTGAGCTCCATAATCCACAAATCATCTCGACAGAACGCCACTACATACCAAGATTGGTCAGGGAAGCAATTGAAATAACCAAACACAAATAATTCAATCGTGAGGATGGGTTTAAATTGTCAAGTGTCTGGAATCCAGTGGTTCGTATGTGCAAAAACCGCAAAAAGCAAAAAAGTGTCGTTCCACGGTCTGATACTGTTGAGTATTGTGTGTCGGGAACAGGTGCGTGTGAATAGTGAGAATGTGACCAATGGTAGGGATATCGAGCGCAGTAAAAGACGACGTCAGAAGGTAGACCGATATGTCTGCCAATAACATCTACCCGCAATTACTTCAGTTACTCCGTTATCATGCCGCTTGCAACAGTGCCGAAATATCGGAGACTCATAAAAAACAAGGTACATGGTAACAATCCCGTTCATAGCTATAATGTTAGTGAACATGAAAGTTTTTTATTATTTTATTTTTATTCCTTAGAGTAAAGAAGTAATAAGGGAGAGGGAACGAGCTCGGTACACATTGAAAACATTACCAGCTGGACTGACTCATTCTTGGCAGCAATATATGCTGAAGAGACAATACGAGGACTTCTGCCATTGCGTGGCTCAGGTTAGTACATAGCATTAGGGGGGGCAAGATTGTAGTTTTTTTTGTATGGGTAAAATATGTTAAACTCGCGTCAGGACACGTGGGCTGATCGCGTCATGACACCTGTCCTGACCGTAAGACGAAAACAATAAAATTGGAAAGGTTGTTGACTAATATTGTCAATTTAATGCAATGTCAAAGTGTCATAGTGTTTCTTATAATTTGATATTAAATGGGTATTACTCATTTTTCATAACAGTAATATTGTACCTATCTAATGCCGCTTCCTATATACTACTTAAAATGTTAACTATAAAATTAATTGTAACTATTTATATTCTAGATGATGTAATGGAAAGTGACTTCAGACGTATTTCTGAAGTAATTTTTCAAATTGACGACACTGTATATAACAATACAGGGAGAAAAAAACAGCCCTTGCAGAGTTTCTTGCCGGTTCTTCTCAGTACAAGGTCTCCCGCCGTAGTTTTGCGAACCGATGGCGTAGCTTCTTGACCTTCACAAGTGCTTGTAACAGCCTAGACTGAATAAATGACATTTCATTTCATTTCATCATTTCATTTCACTTAAACTGAATTTATATTGCGAAATTAGCGATATGAAAGCGATAATAATTAATCAACTAATTAAATTAGCGAAATTATTAACGAAATTAGGGGCAAAACAGTAGTGTCATGCCCCTAATTTCGTTAAATAAATTCGGCTTTATTATATTCAGTGTAACTTCTGCGAGTCATCCATATATTATTTCCCTTAGCCAAATAGTTTTCTGAAAGTGCTCATTCCACTTATTCATTATACAGGTTTCAGAAAGTGCATACGATGAACGAACAGCAGTCTTAGTACCAGGAGTACATTATGAGTTCCCCGGTGGTTACCATCAGGACTTCGGTCCGGAGAGATTCAAGCTGACCGAATGCTTGTTCGAACAGACTTTGGGAGCCCCACATCTAGGTGAGAAATACGTTTTAAACTGAAGTTTTCTATTCAAAATTAGTTCTAAAAAAAAAAATTTATTTGAGACACGATTTAGTTATCAAATTTTACAAATCGATAATTTTTGGGTGTCGAATTAAAATTTTAACAGAACTATAATATTATGGTCTAACGGTTTTGTATTATTATTTTTGTTTTTTATCATCATCATCATCATCATCAGCCTATTAATGTCCCCACTGCTGGGGCACAGGCCTTCTCTATGGATGGAATAGGGAGATTGGGCCATGACCCACCTCGCGGGCCCAATGCGGATTGGCAGGTGCTAACGACTGCAGATGCAGCCGGGACCAACGGCTTAACGTGCCTTCCGAAGCACGGAGGAGCTCGAGATAGTAAATTTTTGGTCACCCATCCAATGACCGACCACTGCCAAAGTTACTTAACTTCAACGATCGCAGCCGAACGCGCTAACCACTTGCGCCATCGAGCTCCTCCACGCTTGTTTTTTATACTTTTACATAAAAAGTGTGCGAGATTATTATTAACGTCGTATCATGTATAGAGACTGTTAAAACTTAGAGTTCTCATACGTATGGCAACACTGCGCGGCGCGGCCTCGCGCGCGACAACGCACATCGTGGGACCGCTCCTTGAGATTTAATCTAAGCTCATAACCAACGATATTAAATACCCTAGATACACCAACACGAACAAAACCGTGCCCGAAACCTGTCCAAAAGGTACATTGGACGATCCACGGAGCTCCGTAAGATGATCGCGTTGTCAAAAACAATATAAGGCATTGTTTAAACATTGAAAGTCACCTTTAATGCATACCGTTTAAGGTCTTAAGTAAAACGCATGCGTCAAAGAGTTACGAAAGTTTGAAATGCAAGCTCGTTAAAGGACATGGTAAAGTTTTGTATGAGCGACTGCCCTAGCAATGTATAAATACTGAACTTAGTAATATTTAATGGTAAATGGCTGGATATTTATAATTTCTATGAAAAAAGGCTCAGGAACTTTTGATAATGTCACATTCTTGAAAATTATGAGGACTCATACTATGTCATTACCTTACTACATTTGATGAAAGATGTTACCAATTATTTACAGAGTCATCAATTTCGCATTTTCTTAGAATCTTTCTTCCCATTTCTCTGATTAACTCTTCACAAAAAGTGTTTTTAAAGCAAAAAAAAATACAAATAATTTGTTATCGTCGGCCTGACAGGAAATCTATGAAGTTTAATTTTGTCCATTTGCAAAAATTTAAAGTATTAATTATCATACAACCTTGTCTCAAGCCTGATCAGAATAATAAAATCTATTATTTTAGGCCTTCCGTGATTTGTAATATTAAAAATTAGGGCCAAATATGTCACATAGTGTGAAGGAGTTTAGAAATAATATTGTTTATTTCGATATACTTACACAAATATTTTTTGTGTACACATATTGTTCATTTATTTTGTAAAACGGAACATTTTGGTTTTGAAACAGTCATGAAGTCAATTTTTATACTTTTTAATATTTGATTATTTCACGAAAGTTGTATGAGAATAATAAACACGTAATAATTAGTAAAAAAAGATTGTAAAGTTACGGGCTAGTGCCAAATATTTAAGGGCATGTCCTTTTACGACTTATTGCTATATGCGGAAGAATTCTGAATGCGCTGTTAGCAATATAGCAGGTCCGCGAGGAAAAGAGACGGCTATATAACCTACCATGCATTTGAATATCACAAATATTTTCTATCAAATCAGTTTATAGTAAGTATTAGAATAATATTTGCTTCAAATGCGTTAAATTAACAAACATTGATTAGATACCTGTCGAAAAACCGACACTTTACATACTACAAGTATTTTTTTCGCATTATTTCACAGAGCTCTGCGGCATGTTGACTTTTCAACGGTCCGCGCGTGACTGTGAACCAAGAAGTGCTTGAGTGGACTTCAAGCACTTCTTGATTGGGACACATTTTGAGCAGACGTGGTGTATCTAGGGTATTGAATATCGTTGCTCATAACTTCGGGTGCAGTGACGTCAGCGGCGTCGTTGTGACGCGGCTGGTATTGTCTAGGGCTCGTTGAGTAGGATATGAAATCTTCGCCAGCTATCTTCGCGTTTGGAATTTATCACCACTCAACATCAGGTGGGGTAGAGTCATTTGCCTACTTCGCTATAAAAAAAAAACATAGCACCGCACCTTGAGATTAAATCTAAGCCCATAACTCCGGGTGCAGTGACGTCAGCGGTGTCGTTTTGACGCGGCTGGTATTGTCTATGGCTCGTTGAGTAGGATATGAAATCTTCGCCAGCTATCTTCGCGTTTGAAATTTATCACCACTCAACATCAGGTGGGGTAGTCATTTGCCTACTTCGCTATAAATAAAAAAAATGGCATGGCAATGGCACCGCACCCTGAGATTTAATCTAAGCCCATAACTTTCGGTGTGGGACTTTTTTGCGGGATCGGAAAGCGTCACTTTAACAGTTTTGTTTTTCTTGCTAAAAATTGTGTTGTGGCGGATGTTAGTGCCTAATAATGGTGGATAATTAACCACTAAGTGCTCGGAAACATGCACAAGTGTTGGCAAGTGAAACAAAATAGCGGAAAGTATCTTTCGACGTTCCCTCAAGAAGTCCACTGGGAGGGAGGTTCCAGTAAATCCCCACACTTTTACTGAAACATAGGGAAAGGGGGTTTGACTTGACTGCCACTTTCTTTGACTTGATTTATTACTTTGACCACGAGTGCTTTATTATTTGTAAACATAAATGCACAAACCGTTCGAAGCTATTTTGAAAAAAAAACTCCAGGTACAGTGACGTCAGCGGTGTCGTTGTGACGCGGCTGGTATTGTCTAGGGCTCGTTGAGTAGGATATGAAATCTTTGCCAGCTACCTTCGCGTTTGGAATTTATCACCACTTAACATCAGGTGGGGTAGAGACATTTGCCTACTTCGCCATAAAAAAATCGTGGGACTGCCATAAACTTATAAGAATTGAGTGGGGAACGCGGCTCTAAAAGTGTCCGTCTAGTAGAAAGAGAAAGAAGATGAGAGACCGCTAGCTATCTCTCTCTCTTGTGACGCATGGCATCCAATGGCATCATATCGAAACAGTAAGATGTTTACGGTTGCCAATGCGCATGCGCGATTAGAGAGAGAAAGCTAGCGGTCTCTCATCTTCTTTCTCTTCCTATTAGAGGGACACTTCCACTTGTAGTAGTCTATATCTCCCCTACTCTATTCTTATACCTCTATGGCCTGGGTTCCGAACCTGGGGGTAATTACCCCTCCGGGGGTAAATCAGCCATACTTCGGAGGTAACAAAGTACCTAATTATTGGGCAAATCTAAATAATAAGAAAATACTATACAATAATACTTCTAAATGGAGCATGCGCTCCTTCTTGCTAGCGAACCCGTGGGGTGCTGAGTGTGGGAAGCGGGGCGAGATTTTCTCCTGATGATGACATTATTAGAGACGAAGATGTAGTGGCCAAATTGGAATTTCTTGGACTAATGATAACATTTTAAAGTCGGGGTAAAATCTGTTCTCCTAATAGGTTACATGGGTACCAGTATTGGAAAGGTTAGGAAACACTGCTCTATGGGGACTGCACTTTGTGAATTACTCTAAGCCCATAACTCTCGGTGCAGTGACGACAGTGGTGTCGTAACGTGGCCAGCATTATCTAGGGCTCGTTGAGTAGGGATATGAAATTGCGTTTGGACTTTATCACCACTTAACATCAGGTGGGGTAGAGCCATTTGCCTACCTCGCTATAAAAGCTTGCAGACCTTAAACATAGCACCTTGAAATTTAATCTAAGCCCATAATTTCGGATGCAGTGACGTCAGCGGTATCAGCATGCGATGCGGACGCGCGCGTGGCACTGTGGGGCTCCATAGTAATGTGCGGGGGAGTGGCGGGAGCTTCTGGATGGGCGGAACGAGTGGGACGGGAGTTAGCCAATAGGGCTCCGTCCTCGCATCGGCTGAAGACCCACGCCCCTCCCGCGCCGTTGGAAAGGCGGTTCGCAGCGTGGATTGGTGAGTATTGCCTTCCTCTTTGTGCTCCATTAAAACAAGTAGTTTTTTCCTTCATTTGATAATATAAATATTTCAATTACATTTCATCTCCTATACCTTTACTGGTTGACTGGTAGAGAATGCCTATGGCATTAAGTCCGCCATTTACTGTTTTTATGGTAATAAAGAATAAATAAATAAATAAAATACCACAAAAGCCCGCATTGAGTTTGTCCGGATACTGAGTCACTTAAGCTGTCAATACATGTTTGATATTCTTAAATTATATACTGTTCCAGTTCTCGGTTGATTATAATTAATATAACAAACCATGAGCCATTAAGTATTCAGAAAATAAATTAATAATATTTGCGAATTGCAACTGAAATGAAAAATAAAAAAAGAACTGAAGACTAGGCTGTATGGGCATTGTTCCCTTTGCCTAGAAAAGGGAGAATTTATAAACAAAGGTTCACCTACGCCCCTCCCGTGCCGTTGAAGAGGCGGTTTACCGCGTGTATTGATGAGTACCGCCTGTCGAGTTTATATATGCAAACTGCAACCTCCCCCCAGAAACAAAACATCAAATGAAAATCTAAATTCCTGAACATTTATCTTTACTTAATATCTTTTGTTATCTTTTTTTTTCAATTTATTTATTTATTAATTAATTTGCATACAATGAAAAACATCATTACAGCACAAAAACCTTAATGATTTATCTATGCAGAGTCGCTCCACAGCCAGTCACACCAAACAGCCTGTCTGGTTTTCCAAATAATAATCTTTTAACATTTTAATAAAGGGTCTAGAAGATTTTATTTTATTTTGAATAGCCTCTGATAGTTCATTTGTGAATAAGGGTAACAAATACATAGAAGTTCTGGTACCATAAATATTGTTGTACTTTGTGGTAATAAATAAATCATTAATTAATAAATTAATAATTAATCTCAAATTGTAATTTTCATAGTTTTTTTTTTTAGTTTATAAATAAGTGTAATTTAACACCCCAGTCTTTTAGTTTCTGCCAAACTGGAAGAAATCATTTTAAGCAATAAGAACTACATTTGTGACACTAATTTAAAATGTTTATCATCATCATCAGCCTATTAATGTCCCCACTGCTGGGGCACACAGGCCTTCCCTATGGATGGAATAGGGAGATTGGGCCATGACCCACCACGCGGACCCAGTGCCGATTGGTGGGTGCTATCGACTGCAGATGCAACTGGGATCAACGGCCGGGATCACAATCTTTGATCTTTAATAACTCAGAAAGTATTGATTTAATCCACAAACCTTATATAACAAATTTCGCTTAGAATGTGAATTTGAAATAATTTTCACCCCCGGGAAGGGGTGGCATCTACCCCCATGGCAAAAGCGCAAGTTGGCACTATGTCACTTTTGTTTCTTAAGGTATCCGCCACCTACTCGCCAATTTTCATGAAAATCAATGGAGGTTCAACGAAATCGGAGGTTAAAACCTTCATTGACTGGACTACCTGTTGATGGGCAGAATCAGCCCCTAAGAGGTTGTTGTCAGACCCGTCTTTCCCAGTGGGCACTTTGGGCAAGTGCCCAGGCCCCCCGATCGATAGGGGGCCCCCTCAGATCAAAATACAAAGTCCCTAGTTCCTGTTCAACAAACGGAAGTCATAGGGGCCCCATTATCCTAATATGCCCAGGGCCTCCAATAGGTCAAAGACGGCTATGGTTGTTGGTGTTTTGAAATTAACCCTGTATATAATTTTTGGGTGGCCAAAAATCTTCTATCTCGAGTTTCTCCGTGCTTCGGAAGGCACGTTAAGCCGTTGGTCCCGGCTGCATCTGCAGTCGTTAGCACCCTCTAATCCACACTAAACCCGCGTGGTGGGTCATGGCCCAATCTCCCTATTCCATCCATAGGGAAGGCCTGTGCACCCAGCAGTGGGGACATTAATAGGCTCGTGATGATGATGATGATTATTTTTATATTGTAACTTAATTGGTGTTATAATAAAGAGTTATCTTTCTTCAGGTGGATCGATTCTGGCATCAATCGGTTCTTTCCAACAGATGTGGATATCGTCTCAAGAGTACGACGAAGGTGGGAAAGGGCAACTCGAAAGAAAATGCCCGTAAGGTCGAAATTGCCTGCACAAACTCAAATGAACAATATGTAGTAAGCTTGAGGCAAACTTGTCAATTCTTTTTTTTTATTCAAATAAACTAGCGCCCCCCCGCGACTTCGTACATGTGATAAGTTTACCAATGGACATTATGAACATATTATTTTTTCAAACAAACAAATCACTTGGTGGAATTCATTTCCCATTCGTAACTGTCTGTAACTCCATCAGGAAATTCAGAACCAATATTCATTCATTATAAACATCAATAGTTCTGTATGATACAATATTGTATAATCTGTGTTCGATCGGAATGGGAATGTAAAATAAGCTACGTTTGCAAAGCAAAATGACACTTATGTCCAAGGCATAGAGTTTAATCGATAAAAAAGTATTGATTACTGGTAAAAGCCACCTATTTAGCGGTAGCGTAATTGTCGGTTCATTCGCCCGGATTGCGAAGGGTGCGGGTTCGAGTCCCGTCTGCTGTCAGGTCCGCGCGAAATTTTTTCTAGTAAAATTTTCTTTTAGATTCAATCTAGCAGTTTTTTATTTGAACACAAGTGATGTTTTTCTTTGCAGCTTTGTGATTTTGTCACAGAATCCTATGTGGTGTGTGCTTGTGTATGCGATTTGTAAAATAACTTGTTTTTAGTGTAGGTAAATCTTAATTTAATGTAACTGGCTGACGAATTACATTATAGTATTAAGAGAAGAATTTGTTTTATTCTATTTTCTATTCTAGTCTCTATTGATAGATTTTTTTTTTACTGTCTGCGCAGGAAAGGTTTGGTGGCGCATCCTATGTTTTTCTTGTTGTCAAATTTTGTATGGAAACTTGCACAGCAGCGCCATAAGGTACGTAACGAGAACTAAAAATCAGTACCCCTAGCACGAACCATTATCGAATTCGAATAGTTTGCAAACCGAAATGTGAATGTCAATGGAAACTTGAACAGCAGCGGCACAACGTACTTAACGAGAACTGAAAATCAATACACATTTGATAATGACATTTCGGACTCGCAAACGATACGAATTCGATATTGTTTCGTGCTCGGGGTACAGTAAACATTTGACAATGACATTTCAGTCTCGCAAACGTTACGAATTCTATACTAGGGGCCATTCTTTTATTACGTAAGTATTTTAGCTAGTATTCAGTCTCCCCTCCCCCCACGTAAGAAAAAATATGAAAAGCCAACTAATGGGTGACCTAAAATTTCTTATCATTTGCTCCTCTGTGCTTCGCAAGGCATGTTAAGCCAGCCACTCAGGTCCAGGGGGCCATTCGCCTAACGGAAATGCTTTGGAAAACGCTAACGCTTACGATTTTATTTTGTTATTTCTAGCCGCCTGAGGTATTCAAATGCCTCGCGCTCTTTCTTTTTCTTTTGTATTGGTAATAACAATATTAAAAAAATGAGCGTGAGGTATTCGAAAACCTCAGGCGGCTAGAAATAACAATATAAAATCGTAAGCGTTAGCGTTTCCCCAAGCATTTCCGTTAGGCGATTGGCCCCCAGGCTGTATAGATCTGAAGTCGTTAACAACCAATAACTGGGCACGCGTGGTAGGTCATAGATGGCTAGAAAAATAAAAACAACTTCTTTTCTAAATCTAAAGAAAAGTTTACTAGAAAAATTCCTCACGTACCAGGCATAAGACGGAAGTAAATTTTCCTTTAGATTTAAACCTCTAGCAGTTACATGCTTAAAAAATAAATGCTGAAGTTTGGCTCATCATTAACCTTTAAATGTCCCCACTGCTGGGGCATAGGCCTTCCGCATGGATGGGATTTACGTTTGTGTAATGGGATGATAGGGTAACGGATAGAATACATATATCTTTCCATCAGGTCACATTGTGGTCAAACGCATTGCCTATTTAGCATAAAAAAAATATATAAAACTCAAAGGTGACTGACTGACATAGTGATCTATTAACGCACAGCCCAAACCACTGGACGGATCGGGCTGAAATTTGGCATGCAGGTAGATGTTATGACGTAGGCATCCGCTAAGAAAGGATTTTGATCAATTCTACCCCCAAAGGGATAAAATAGGGAATGGAAGTTTGTATGAAACTGTCAATTTTAAACCGATCGGGCTGAGACTTTGCATGCAGGTATAAGAAGAATCATAGATGAATGTCATTGTGTATAATACAAGCCTGAGAACAAAAACTGTAGTCTACACTTCAGCTCTACACCGAAGCGAAGCGAGGGCGGGCCGCTAGTATAAGTATATAGGACCACGCGCGCTGGCCTACGTCGCACCGTCTAACTGCAAAGAAATTTGATGACTCATTTCTTTGTCGCACTATCCGTAAATGGATTGCTCTGCCCGCTCACGTGTTTTTTCCCTCCTACAAGCTGGGATCCTTTAAAAGAGACGTGAAGAGGCAACATGCAGGCCGGCAGGGTGGGGATGGCTGGTGTGGCAGGTAGAACTGCTGTATCAGCTACATATTTTCGCGTCTGCACTTCACCGCCACTTAACTATGAGGTCAGGTGGGGTGGGGTTATTTGTCGTACCTATCTATAAAAAAAAAACTAGAAATATATATAAACATCCATGACTTTGGTACAAATGCTTGTATTCATTTATTTCAATCAATAACGTATTGCATTCAGAAAAATGAAACCGTTGATAAAGCTGCAAAATGTAAAGGTTACTTAAGAATCTTCAGACGGAAAAGATGACAAATACTTTTTTTTAATTGAAAGACAAATACTTTTGTTTTTGATAGAGTATTATTTTTGGTTTGCCTATTTTTAGGGTCCCGTAGCCAAATGGCAAAAAACGGAACCCTTATAAATTCATCATTCTGTCCGTCCGTATGTCACAGCCACTTTTTCCGAAACTATAAGTACTATACTGTTAAAACTTAATAAGTAGAACCGCATTAAGATTTTCACACAAAAATACAAAAAAAATCAATAAATTTTGGGGGTTCCCCATACTTTTTTTTTTTTTTTTTTGTGACGAGGGGAAATGCAGTTACGCACCATACCGTGACGCTGACTAGGCGCACGGCGTGTGTGGGACTCGCCGGCACGGGAAACAGTGCCGACCCTACTCAAGCAGGACCAGTGCGGAAGGCCACACTGATCCTACTCCACTAAAACCCCCCGGTACCCTCCTACGCCCATTTGGGGGCGTCTCGGGGCCGACGCACCTGCGTGCGCCACAACTCCGAGCCCGCCCCCGGGCAGGCCCGGCCCAACGAGTGGACCGGGCGACGCGCCTCAGGGGGACTGCGCTAGGGTACTAGGCAGTCCCCAGACGTGGTGGCCTATGCCGGAGCGGCACCTAGGGCGCGCGGCTGGTCAGGCCGCGCCCAGGCCACCTTAGGGCCGTCGAAGACCGGCAGTCACAGCTGCCTGCCTTCTTCGGCCCACCCGTCTACGCCGGAGAGGGGCGGCTAGAGCGTCCTCCTCCCGCTCCCTCTCCGCTGCCTCCTTCTGCGCCATCACAGATTCGCAGAAGGAGGCGGCAGCCCTCCAGGCTCTCTCGCTACCAAGCATGGCTCTTACCATACTTGGCAGCGTGAGGCCTCCTCCGCCGAGCGCCGCGATCAGATCGCGGCGCTCATTTCGCCAGGCCGGGCACACGATCAACGTGTGCTCGGCCGTGTCGTCGGGAGAGGCGCAGTGATGACACCGCGGCGTCTCCTCCCGACGGGCGACTCGGTGCAGGTAGTGACCGAAGCACCCATGTCCGGTCAGTACCTGCACCAGGCGGTAGGTGAGGGTGCCCCGCTGGCGCCCTACCCACTCCTCCAACACCGGACGAATCGCCTCGATCGTCCGGTGGCCAGCGGCTGGGTTGGCGAGTGCCTCCACCCATCGGCGCAGAGCCTCCCCCTGCGCCTCGGTGCGGACCCGTTCTACCTCCTCTAGAACGGGTCGCTCGCCCCGCTCTCTCGCCGCGACCCGGTGTTGATGCACCTGGGACAGTACCAGGGCATCAACCTCCCACGGGAGCGTACCTGCTAGGACGCAGGCAGCCCCGTGGCTGACCGTGCGGTAAGCCCGCACGGCCCGGGTCGCGATGACCCTCTGCGGTCTTCGCAAGAGGGCCCTCGTGCGGGACGAGAGGCACTCAGCCCAGACCGGGGCCCCGTACAGCGCCATCGACTTTATCACGGAGTGATAAAGCCGACGGCACTTCGTGGGGGTTCCCCATACTTAGAATTGAAACTCAAAGAAATTTATTTCTTCAAACCCATATGTGTGGGGTATCTATGGATAGTTCTTCAAAAAACGATATTGAGGTTTCTAATCTATTTTTTTCTAAACTGAATAGTTTACGCGAGAGGCACTTCCAAAGGAGTAAAATGTGCCCCCCCCCCCCCCCCCTCTGTGTTGATTTTTTCATAATACTAACATTTGCCCTAACCGGGATTCGAACCCGGGACCTCTGAGTAGGCGACGCCATGAAACCTGGGCTATATAGCATACCACTCAGCCACAGAGGTCGTCTAATAACAGAAGGAAATAAAAACCTTTTAGTATTTTCAAAACTTAAATATAATTTATAATTACACTAGATATACAAAACAGTATACAATAAATTATGATCAGTTCTTCGGCCATTTTACAATCAAAATAACTGAAAAGTTAAAATCTATATATACGGTGTAAAAAAACCTATAACGAAGTCCAAGGCCACGTATTCTCCACATCATGACGATCATTTTTTTCTTCCGGACCATACCTGGGAAATTTATGGTTATGGAAATATTGAAGGTCAGTCAGATTTTTTTTCAAGACGTATACATTAATATTTATAAAACGTTATTTAGAAACTTGTTTATCGACGCATTTACACACACATACATCATCATCATCACCCTATTAATATCCCCACTGCTGGGGCACAGGCCTTCCCTATGGATGGAATAGGGAGATTGGGCCATGACCCACCGCGCGGGCCCAGTGCGGATTGGTGGGTGCTAACGACTGCAGATGCAGCCGGGACCAACGGCTTAACGTGCCTTCCGAAGCACGGAGGAAATCGAGATAGAAGATTTTAGGTCACCCATCCAATGACCGACCACTGCGAAAGTTGTTTAAATTCAACGATCGCAGCCGAACGCGCTAACCACTTGCGCCATCGAGCTCCTCATGTCAAGATGTATACATTAATATTTACAAAACTTTATTTAGAAACTTTTTTATCGACGCATTTACACACACACACACACAGGCACACTGTTTGCGTAGCGCCACAGTAGCGCGCCGCGCTATACATTGCGTACTGGAAAACAAAAATTAACTTAAAAATACAAATGTTTTCCACGTATAATATTTTGTAATATGACTTGTTTGGCTGTACAGAATGCGTAGTTTTAGTCTTTGTCATAGGTTTTTTTACACCCTGTATAATTAATCTTTCTCTCAAATATTTCTAAAACCGTATCGCCCTTATTAATAAACAAAGAATAAGCTAAGTTTATGTCACTCAAATGCCATTCGTTGTTTAATGAACAGAGATAAAACATGGTGTAACTAATCCAAGTTTATTCTTCGTTCATTAATAAGGTCACATAAGATTATTATGGGAATTTAAGAAATCTTTACAACTCTTATCGGTCTATATTATTTTATTCAAAGTAGATATATATTAAATTTATTTATTTACATAAAGTATGCTGACAATTTTTTAACAACAAAATGAAATATTATACAAAAGAATTTTTTCTGTAGAAAATTCCACGCGAACCAGCAGACAGGACTCAAACCCGCACCCTTCGCTATCCGGGCGAATGCACCGACTATTATTCTACCGCGGCCCTAATGGCCGTGTCGATTTTTCTCTAGTATTCCTTTGGCTGCAAATACTAGAGAAGGTTCGACACGGTCACGGCTGGTCCGCGTAGATTTTTTTCTAGTAAAATGCTTAAAAATAAAAAATTAACATTATTCAATCTTCATAAAGAACTTTTTACTTTACAACAACAGAGGAGCTCGATGGCGCAAGTGGTAAGCGCGTGCGACTGTGATCGTTGAAGTTAAGCAACTTTCGCAGTGGTCTGCCATTGGATGGGTGACCAAAAATTTACTATCTCGAGCGTAACAGTGCTTCGGAAGGCACGTTAAGCCGTTGGTCCCGGCTGCATCTGCAGTCGTTAGCACCCGCCAATCCGCACTGGGCCCGCATGATGGGTCATGGCCCAATCTCCCTATTCCATCCATAGGGAAGGACTGTGCCCCAGCAGTACGGACATTAATAGGTTGATGATGATGATGACAGAACCTTTTATGTGTACAACCCTACAAGTACAAGACAAGGCAAGTCTGGCTGGCCTTACACCTATTTTCTTCCATATAAATAAAGATTGGGTAATGTTATACATTAATATTAAGTATCAACATATATTATCTTAGATTTAAACAAAAAGGGAAGATACGGCACTCGCGGCTCAAAAGTGATCCGCTTAAATTGTGGTGCATGACCACAATTAGTCACAATTGGACATTCAAACACGCTGCATCTGCTGAGTGCACATAACAATATTGCGTATATTCTGTGTTATAAAGATAAAACAATGCCTTCGATGCTTTAATAAAGAACACAAATAGTTCAAAATCAAATAACAAATACCTCGGCAACACTTTTCATTCGTAAAACTGTAAAAACAATTTCTTCTCAAAAATCACGGTTTGTCGTGAATGTTATTTATGTATTCGCCATTTTGTTGTCAAGAAAAGGACAACAATACGCTGCGTTGAAGAGTATAGTTCTGTCTCTCTCGCTCGATTGAATGTTTATATACAGACGTGTGTGTGTGTGAGAGTTTCTTATGTAGTTGAGTCGGATCATATTTTATTTGATGCTAGTATGAGCGTACCGTATACAGTATAATCTCACTTATCCGGCACTTCGATAGATCGGCACATCCAATAATCAATAATGGATTTGTTAGTGATTGGTAAACCAAAAAATCCCAGAGGTTTCTAGAACATTTGTCTGCCAGTCAGCTACAAGAATCAAATTAGAAGTTGGGTCACGAGAGAAGTATTCAGCGAATGGTTTCATAATGACTTTGTCCCAGAAGTCAAGAAAATTATGAAAATATCCAATTTGCCCATAAAAGCATTTGATTTGTTTCAATACCTTTCAATGCATGTCTGCCAAAGATATTATAATTCTTCGCAACATGCGAGAAATGGTTTTTAAGCAAGGACTATGAGTTGCACAAAAGCAGACCTCGATTAAGGATTATTTTAAAACTATGTTATTCCATATGTATGTACTTGTTAAATTAATACATTACATACATTTTATTCCATCTATGAAATGCTTTATTTTATTCGTTACCTACGACTTTTTCACTATAATCCAGTAATCCGAACATTCCAATAATTCGGCACTCTCCTGTTTTTAATAGTGCCGGATTAGTGAGATAATAGCAGCATCGATTGAATTATTAAGCAAAATATTTATTAGTACCCCTGACAAAATCACTAGACACTAAAACTCTTTATGTACCGTTAGTCTCAACTAATTATCGTCAAAATTCTTTCACAATTAGAGCTCCTCACAATTTTAACCAGTACTCATCAGGCTAGTTAGATGTTGATTTGTTTTGTGATAGCTTGAATTCAGTTTAAAAAAAAAAACAATAATATTTTCTTTGAGCCGAGTACTTAAGCTATGTATTTTTTATCTTTCTGCTTTTTTAATTGCTTATAAGTATATATAGTATACATACCCACTTAATAATGCATTTAAGCATCATGTGCGCTTCATGCCGACTTTTTTAATGATTACTTTAACTATCCGCGGAAACTATTAATTGGCCTTAAACATAAATATTATGCAGAATAGCAAGTAACAAAAACTAGCTGTAAGTTTCCCAAAAACTGTAAAAAATAAATAAAAAAAAACTGTATTCCCTTTTTTTGTCTTAATCTAAGTATATTATGGTTGCCTTTGCCTATTATGTTTAGTTATTCACATATATACACATAGTTTTGATATCACTATTCACAGCACTTCACAAAACTTCCCAAAATTGGTATTCAAACACTCGAGACATTCTGTAACAAAAGAAAATTGTAAATTAAATTCTTTGAGTAAATTATTGTTTGGTAGTAGAAGTTAAGCACGCAAAAAAGGCTGAACAGATTTGGGTGAAACTTGGCATACACATAGTTTATTAGCTGGATTGAGACTTGATATATTTTTTAACTTGAAAAAGGCACAGATATTCACTCGGCGCGCCACACATTTTCTGTCGAGCAAACATCAAATCATCCGCCAAATAGTAGGGCGTAAGCGATATTGATTCAAAAAACACTTTAAAACTTTAACAATTTAAACTCAAATTAATTTTGATTATTTTGTTCAAAAGCTCTTTTAGAAAAATTAATACCCTTTAATTTGACGTAATCTGCAGTCTGTGTGGAAAGAGAATGGGCGTGGCGAAAAACGGAACTAACATTAAGATTTTTATTTCGCAATCAAACCCAGCAATCTGTAAAACGTCAAAGTTTTGTATTGATACGGATTTGTTTGTTGTTGTGATTTCTTGCGGTTTTTTGTATTTGATCATGTCTAAAAGGGGTAAAACCTTACAAATACGGTAGAAAAGCACTACAGCGCCCTCCAATCTAAATCCCATTCTCTTTTTCGCACAGACTCTACGACGATTTACCGCGGAGTTATCGTCAATCAAAGCAAAAAAAAATCTTTTCGACTTTGATAATCAATAACTCCGGAAATAATGATCGTATAGGAAATCGAAGGAGGGTATTGAAAACTGCACGACATTCTCTCGGCACACACACAGTTTATTAGCTGGATTGAGACACGGAATATTTTATTATTCTTGAAAAAGGCACAGACACAGTTTCTAGTAAACTTTTCTTTAGATTTAAACATCTAGCAGTTAAATGCTTAAAAAATAAATAAAAACATAAAGGCACAGACATCAAATCATCCGCCAAATAGTAGGGCCTAAGCGCAATTAATTCAAAAAAAAACATCAAGATTTATGTCGCTTCAGCATTCTGAACAATAAAAATCTTCCAAAGTTGAGTTGCTTATTAAGTGGCAAAAAAAAGTACTCAAATCTTCACGAAACATAAACAAATCGATGCAGAAAAATATCTGATTCAAGTTATATAGGTGGTTATGGGTAGTCATGTTCTCTTAAAAGTCTCTTCGGTGATGTCGTGTGAGGCGGGTCGTTACGTTCCCTAAAATATGGTTGAGCGAAGCGATGGCTGGTTCATGCGTCATGCTCGTGAACGGGTGCTGCCAGAAGAGATGAGTCTGCCCTAACTACTTTGATATTTAAGAAGTAAATGTTTAATTACACCTATTATAAATAACTCTATTTGTATTTATACTGTGTGACACAGCAATCAAAATGCATGTGAACAATTAATGTATAATTTCACATAATGTAATGAAAGGTGACTTCATGAATCATCTCTGAAGTCATTTTTCAACTTGACGACTCTGTAAATGATAAAACAGGGAGAAAAAAGCAGCCCTTGCTGAGTTTCTTGCCGGTTCTTCTCGGTACAAGGTCTCCTGCCGTAGATTTACGAACCGATGGCGTAGCTTCTAGACATTCATGAGTGCTTGTAACAGCCTAAACTGAATAAATGATTTTGATTATGATTATGATATATGTACATATATATATAACTCGTTTTCGAACAAAGTGGCGTTTAAGCGATTTCCCCTTTCCACAGTCGATATTTATTTATTTATTGATTTATTCAAGTTAAACGTGCAGGCTTACAGAATAATCCAAACGCCGGCAAGTCATACATAAAAATATTAACAATCATAGATGGTATTCATTAAATTCAATAAATTTAAGGAAAAGAGATAATCAAATAATAATAATTATAACAACAACAAAAAACAGTAATGCCAAATAGATTGGTGATGTCAAATAGCAATGTCAATTAATACTGAATAGAAATAAAGTCAAATCACCCATTGTACAAGTATTATTAATTAATGTTATAATAAAATAGTTAATTATGTGAAACCAAAAAAAAAACAATTAATACTGGTGTCGATTCTGGCGTGATTCTCTAAACTTAAAACTAAATTTAACATCAGTCCGTCCTTTTCATTCTGTATAGAGAATGACCAAGATACACTGTTGTCAAATTTAAGTTTAGCTTTAGAGAATCACGCCAGAATCGACACCAATGTCACATCTAATGTCAACTAAGAACAGACAATGTCAAATATACTAATTTAATAAATAATGTCATGCCATTTTAGTTATAAATAAATGAATTGTCAAATTCAGTCGATATAATCTACCCTAAGTAATATATTCCACTCACATTTCTCAAACAGCTGTGGCTCCGTGTTCGTTCTCTATATGTTGCTTGAAGGCTACCCTCGACGAGGATTCGAACCCGCAAGCCCCACAAACGAGGACATCCGCCGCTTGTACTTCGTCAGTGTTCAAGTATACTTCTAAAGACAAAAAGACAGATACATTATAGTGAAAATGCTCTTGTAGGAAGGCCAAAGGGGAAGATCTTCCTCCGAACTGGGTGATGGTAGCTCGGGGGCGGCGGCCCGACTGATATTGGTCGGGCATCGTATATCCTCTCACGCGGCCATCGACCGACTTTTGGTTTCTGACATTACCCCGACATGCGGCCAGCGACCAAAAGTCGGTCGATTTACCATACGAAAGTCGGACTGGTGCCCCATCGGGCATTAATTTGGCTATTACCTACATTCTTATATCAATTTTTAGAGGAAAAAACGGGCTAGCTATCAAGCCATTGATTGAAACAACTGCCATATGAAATATTTATACTGTTATCTGTCAAAGTTCGTCGTTCGCCGTTATTTGTCTGAAAAAAAATATGCCGTGTATTCAGACTATTTTAAGTGCTTTTTAAGAGATGAAGAGTTAGGCTGCGTTTCCACAAGAGATGTGCGAGGATGCATAGCGAGGGATGTGTTTGTAAAGAACCAATAGAATCGCTTCATTTACCTCGCCTCGGTCAGCACAGCTCTGGTGGAAACGGCTCAGCGGAGCTAGATTTTGTCGCATACAAAACAAGCGAGGGATGTGTGCAAAGGATGTGTTGCGAGGAATGGGTGTTGAGAAGGATGTGTTGCGAGGAATGTGTGTTGAGAAGGATGTGTTGCGAGGAATGTGTGTTGAGAAGGATGTGTTGCGAGGAATGTGTGTTGAAAAGGATGTGTTGCGAGGAATGTGTGTTGAGAAGGATGTGTTGCGAGGAATGTGTGTTGAGAAGGATGTGTTGCGAGGAATGTGTGTTGAGAAGGATGTGTTGCGAGGAATGTGTGTTGAAAAGGATGTGTTGCGAGGAATGTGTGTTGAGAAGGATGTGTTGCGAGGAATGTGTGTTGAGAAGGATGTGTTGCGAGGAATGTGTGTTGAGAAGGATGTGTTGCGAGGTTTGCGCATACTGTACCAGCCAGTCTATAGACGGAGTTTCTTGGAAGTAGAAGTGCACAAAATAGATATGGATAATTGGAAAAAGAAGATACTTTTATATTTAACAATTTGCGTTGAAGAAATGGAAGCAGAAGATAAAGCAACGCATCCTCGCTCGCACCACACATTAATGCGCTCCGCTACACATCCTTGTAGGCACATTTTCATCGTACAGCTTTGGTGGAAATCCCCACACATTTTCACAGCACAGCTAGACATCCTCGCACGACACATTTTCATCTCACATTTCTGGTGGAAACGCAGCCTTAGCCTCCGAATTTCATTTGCGCGATTTAGGCTTCCATACTATTAAGATCGCAGTGCAGGTAACGCCATCTCTTGAGGATGGTGAGTAATGATTTCCTCCATCCGTTGTATAGATGTGGGGCATATAGATGTCGCCGCCACACTCTTATTGATTCTACTAGCGGCCGCCCGCGACTTCGTACGCGTGGAGTTAGTTATTTGCACACACTTTTTGACCCCAAAAGGGGGTTTATTTCTATAGATACATTATTAGTACACCTCTACACCATCTATAGAGCATACATGTTAAATTTCAAGTCTCTTACTTCAAAAACATAGAACTTTCATACAAATTTCCAACCCCCATATTACCCCCTTAGGGGTGGACTTTCGTGATAATATGTAGCCTATATGTTGACCCGACTTCTTAATAATATTCGTGCCAAATTTGAAGTAAATCTATGCAGTACTTTTTGATTTTACGGTTAAAGACATTTATTTTCTCAAAAGAATTTACAAAATATCCACTTACAGAGAAAATACAAAGCACAATTAACAAAAAAAAATCATTACGTCGTGTCGATTAACAATTCTAAAATGTAGGTAGATTAACAAACAGAAACATGCGCAGACGCATGCGAACAGCGGAGACACATAAAGGCAATGACACGGGATGTTGCGGTGCGACCAATCTTACATAGAAATATGTATAATAAAAAAATACGTATCATTTTATGTTACACAGATCAAACACATATATATATATATATATATATACTAGCGGACCCGACAGACGTTGTCGTGTCTAGTATGGTAGCGCCGTCTGTCGGATCCAATGTAAAACATTCCAAAATCAACAACTACTAATAAATTAAAAATTAATTAAATAAAACATTGTCCAGCGGACAAAATTGTGAATCTAAACCATTCTCAGATCCCCTTGAACACACACAAAAAATTTCATCAAAATCGGTCCAGTCGTTTAAGAGAAGTTTAGTGACATACACACTCACAGAAGAATTATATATACAAAGATATATATATATATATATATATATATATATATATATATATATATATATATCACATCTATGTATATATGTTTTGAAAATTCTAGGTTAAGTTCGTCTTAGTAATACAAGAAACTTATGTTATTACTGGTGTCGATTCTGGCATGATTTTCTAAACCTAAACTTAAATTTGACAACAGTGTATCCTTGTCATTCTCTATACAGTATGAAAAGGAGAGACTGATATTAAATTTAGCTTTAAGTTTAGAGAATCACGCCAGAATCGACTCCACTAAATGTTTTTTGTTACTTTCAAAGTACTATGATACTATTATTGACATAAATAGGTTTTTTTACATAAAAAGATCGATTATTGATTAAATACATTAATTATATACTATTAACTTATGCATCAATATAGACAATGATTTTATCCCGGACATGCATACAGACAAACAGACAAAAATTCTTAAAACTATATATTTGGCTTCGGTATCGATTGTAGATCACACCCCAAGTATTCTTTTAAAAAAATTTTTCAATGTACAGTTTTGATTTTCCTACCATTTTATTATATGTAAAGATATGAGTACTTACTGTTAGCTTCATCTGCCAAGTGAACATCCTGTACGTGTTTCATTAACTGTAATGAAAAAGGGTTTTATTAATTGTTCAGTTTAAAAAATATTAATCCATACGAAAATTATGAATGCAAGTGTCTATCTATCTATCTATTGCCTCTTCACGCTTAAACTGCTGAACTGATTCAGGTGAAATTTGGTTTAGAGATAGTTTCATTGCAGAAATTGCCTTTTAAAGGTGTCAAAATAACGTTGGATGGATGGGAAAAATCTTTGAGTATGTATAATTTAAATAAAACAAGTTTTAACGGGTTAATTCACGAACTTTATTTATTTACTAGCGGCCCGCCCTCGCTTCGCTTCGGTGTAGAGTTGAAGTGTAGACTACAGTTTTTGTTCTCAGGCTTGTATTATACACAATGACATTCATCTATGATTCTTCTTATACCTGCATGCAAAGTCTCAGCCCGATCGGTTTAAAATTGACAAAGTTTCATACAAACTTTCATTCTCTACTTTATCCCCTTGGGGATAGAATTGATCAAAATCCTTTCTTAGCGGATGCCTACGTCATAACATCTACCTGCATGCCAAATTTCAGCCCGATCCGTCCAGTGGTTTGGGCTGTGCGTTGATAGATCACTATGTCAGTCAGTCAGTCACCTTTGAGTTTTATATATAAAGATTGACGTTTCGCAGCCTTTTCAGGTCTGCATTGTCAGAATAATGATTTTTTATTTACTTTGTCGAGCTTGTCCGTTAAAACTAGTTTTATTTAATGAGTGATGTGCGTGAAAACCTAAGAAACATATATATAATTTCTTCAATATTATAAGTACATTTATCTGCATATATGTGTTCTTATAATGGTACCTACCTCACATATTGTTAAAATTGATTTCATTAAGACACGTATATTTAAAAATACATTGACTTGAAATGAAAGTAAACTATTAAATATTATTTTCATTATTTCTTCAATATCATCATCATCATTAGACTACTAATGTCCCCACTGCTGGGGCACAAGCCTTCCCTATGGATGGAATAGGGAGATTGGGCCATGACCCACCACGCGGGCCCAGTGCGGATTAGAGGGTGCTAATGACTGCAGATGCAGCCGGGACCAACGGCTTAACGTGCCTTGCGAAACACGGAGGAACTCGAGATAGAAGATTTTTAATTTATGGTCACCCATCCAAATACCGACCACTGCGCAAGTTGCTTAACTTCAACGATCGCAGCCGAACGCGCTAACCACCTGCGCCATCGAACTCCTCAATATATCAAGACGGTTAAGGTAAGTCACCTGTATATGCGTATGTCGTTACCCAGGAATAATCAAAATGTGTTTGAAAATGACGATGGAAGTTTGTATGGAAAAAAAATGTGTGCGTGTACTAGTGTACACACGTAAGAAGTGAAACTTCTTTATGGCCTTATTTTTTTCGAAAAATGATCTACATGCAACTTTCCAGAAATATATATATAGGCGTGCGCTAAGATTTTTCAAAAACTCACCCACTAAAGGGGTATAACTACACCTTACCTTACCTTACCTTCCTTACCTTACCTTACCTTACCTTACCTTACCTTACCTTACCTTACCTTACCTTACCTTACCTTACCTTACCTTACCTTACCTTACCTTACCTTACCTTGTGTGAAACACGAATATTTGCTGTCGATACTTTTTTATTTTTAAAGTTGACAGAAGAAGCAATTGTTCGGATGAGGTAAATAGTGCTCTTTTAAAAAAAAGATGGCGCGTAACCAAAAAACGTGACGCGTAACCGAAAAAATGTGACGGTAAATTTTTTTCCAACGCCAATAAAGAAGTTTCACTTCAAAAAAACATTTTTCAAGCATGTAACTGCTTGATGTTTAAACCTAAAGAAAACATAACTAGAAAAATTGCTATTTATTCTTTCAAATGTTTAATACTTGTAAAAGTATTAATTTGACGTTGTGGGTTACCACCTACAATGGGAAGAGATTGCGCTGCCTTGAAGCTTAGGGGCCATCCATAAATTACGTCACACGTTAAGGGGTGGGAGGGGGTCGACGAAGTGTGACATCGTGTGACAAGGGGGTGGGAGGGGTCCTAAATTTCGTGACATCACATTTCAAAATCTATTATAATCTAAGTGTTGAAACTATTACTTTACGTAAACATTAACAACCCAAACGAGAACAAACTGGTGCTATGCCAGTTATAAATAATTTAAAGGAGTTGGTTCAGTGTCCATGGACTTACGATTATTAAGTTTGTATCTTTAATTTAATTATAATGCTATTAATATTTTTTGTTTTGTTAATTTCTTTAATTAATGATGTCAATCGTTTTTTGTTTTGTTAATTTATTTAATTAACATAGTCAATTGTTTTCTGTTTGGTGATTTCTTTAATTAATATAATTAATCGTTTTTTCTTTTGTTAATTGTTTGATTTGATGTTAATATTATTAAAAAACAATTTAAATGGAAATAAAACTGATTTCAGAACCGTTGTTTTCATTCAATAATTTTTAAATGTCAATTTGCACAATATGTGACGTCACACTAGGGAGGGGGGGAATCTCACAAATGTGACTAGCTGTGACAAGGACGGGGGGAGGAGCAAAAAATCATGAAATTCGTGTGACGTAATTTATGGATGACCCCTTAAGAATGGCTGGAAGAATGTCGACGCGGCCGTCAGGGCCGCGGTAGCATAATTGGTCAGTGCATTCGCCCGGATAGCGAAGGGTGCGGGTTCGAGTCCCGTCTGCTGCCTGGTCCGCGTGGAATTTTTTTCTAGTTATATTTTCTTTAGCTTTAAATACATTTTATATATGATTTACCTGCATATGCGTATGACCTTTAAAAGGGCACCGGGCACATTGCATAGTTATTCTGTCGCTTCGCCCCCCGGAGCGCCATTTGCTTCCGTTTCCGCCCCCACTGTGTTCTGCTATCTGTTGATAAATCAAACTAATATTATTCTCTTACTCTATAAGTACTATATGTTTGAAGTGCCTAGAAAAGAGATAGAAAGAATATTTTTTTTCTCAACGAAATGTAAGCTATAATAATGAAGTTATTTCATGTGAACTGGAGCCTATATTTTATTTATATAGGTATTGTATCATCATCATCAACCTATTAATGTCCCCACTGCTGGGGCACAGGCCTTCCCTATGGATGGAATAGGGAGATTGGGCCATGACCCACCACGCGGGCCCAGTGCGGATTGGTGGGTTAACGACCGCAGATGCAGCCGGGACCAACAGCTTAACGTGCCTTCCGAAGCACGGAGGAGCTCGAAATAGTAAATTTTTGGTCACCCATCATAATATAGGCTATTGAATATAGCCATATATTCAGTAGCTAAATCTCTTTGTTTTCTAAATCTCTGCTTTCTTTGGTTAACGAAAGTTTAAAAATTCTCTCTAATCTGTGGCTCATTCACAATCATCACACAGTTTCTGTCACAGAGTACCTTATTATAACCGGAAATGCATAGATGACACCTGATTTTATAAGTTACTCTTATGCATTAACTTTAAAAACAGGCAACTATTCTGTTATTCTACATGCTCTATATACCTGAATTTAATCCATAATTTCGGTACTTGGCTTGATTTCTCTGGTTTACTATATAACTTATTTAATTTTTATTATTTTAATATGTTCAGTGTATAAGGTGTGTGAAGTTCTCAGGGGTGTCCGTCAATAATATTCGTTTCTACAGTAATTTATATATAATTTCGAATCTAGGAAACAATTTTTCATGATTATTGGTCTTTAGGCCAAACATGTATGGAAGCTGAGCAATCTCCTTTGGTATGGAGTTAGCTGACGCCCTGGATTAACACATAGGCTACGTTTTACTGCGGGAAAATATCCCTAATAAACCGCGGGTAACACACAGCGGGGCACACTATTATAATATATTTTACACTCACCCTATGAGCCGTCATTTCTTTAGTAGCGTTGCACTTAAAGTTACAATATTTGCAGGAATACAAGAACAGCTTAAATCCGGGCGTAGACAACAGTTCGTGTGGTGGGGGCAAATCGGATTTCCGTTTCCGCCTCACGTAACGACGATTGGATGTATTGGCAGACGCTATGAGAGCCCTGGAATAAATAATAATAAATATAAAATAAATAAATATTGCTAACACTCACACCAATTAGCCTAGCCCCAAAGTAAGCACTATTAAGGCTTGTGTTATGGGATACTAGGGTAACGGACAGAATACATATACTGTACATATATAAGTATATTTATATAGAACTAGCGGCCCGCCCTCGCTTCGCTTCGGTGTAGAGCTGAAGTGTAGACTACAGTTTTTGTTCTCAGGCTTGTATTATACACAATGACATTCATCTATGATTCTTCTTATACCTGCATGCAAAGTCTCAGCCCGATCGGTTTAAAATTGATAAAGTTTCATACAAACTTTCATTCCTTATTTTATCCCCTTGGGATTTTCTTTATATTTTTTTCCGTAAGAACCTTGTACAGAGTATTAGAAAACTACAAAAAAAAACAGCCAAATCGGTCAAGCCGTTTTCATGTTATGTCGTGACAACGGAAAACGGGTTTCATTTTTATATATATAGATTACATATTAAACATCCATGACTGGAGTACAAATGCTCGTATTCATCACACAAACATCTGCCCCCACCGGGATTCGAACCCGGGACCTCTCGAGTCGGCGACACTATGAAACCCGGCGTACAAACAACTCGGCCACGGAGGTCGTCAAATTAATTGTCATGATTGATATCAGTTTTTTTTGAGGCGATACTTCTTTTCGAACGGAGTGTAAATGAAAGAATCCTATGGAAACGATCAAACGGAAATGAGTCACGAGCGTCACACGACTATGTATATATATGTGCGTGTGTGTGGGATGCGTGTGTAGCTCTTCGCGACGAGCATGAAAGTTGGAGGGTAACTCGGCGAAGGTTGAATCGCGACAATATATCTAATATATAAAATTCTCGTGTCGTGGTGTTTGTGGTTAAACTCCTCCGAAACGGCTCGACCGATTTTCGTGAAATTTTATATGCATATTCAGTAGGAATGAGAATCGGATGTAATCTATTTTTCATCCCCCTAAATGTTAAGGGTAATCCACCCCTAAATTTTTTTTTTCAATTTTAGATATAAATATTTTTTATTTTTTTATTATACAGCATTAGTAAATACATATAACCCTGAATTTTCAACCCTTTCAAATCAACCCCTATTTTACCATCGCGATGTTTGTGGTTAAACTCCTCCGAAACGGCTTTCCCGATTCTCATGAAATTTTGTGTGCATATTGGGTAGGTCTGAGAATCGGACAACATCTATTTTTCATCCCCCTAAATGTTAAGGGTAATCCACCCCTTCTTTTTCGATTTTAGATTTTTTTTAAATTTTTTTATGATACAGCATTAGTAAATACAGATAACCCTGAATTTTCAACCCTTTACAATCAACCCCTATTTTACCATCGCGATTTTTATTTTTAATATTTTTTTTCTCAATTCAATTTGATCTTCCGCCTTCACCGGTCGATAACCGATCAACGATCAATCGATCAGTTATTCCCGCTAGATGTCTACCTGGGTCACCTCTCATCCAGCAAACATAACGGAGTAGGGATGAGAAGGAAGCCGGTCTCCTGTCTTCCTCAATATGTTTTCGGCCATTTTTTTTTGATTTCATTTGTGTATCGACCGTAGCAGTGACTTATACGTATTATTTTAATTTTTCTGTGCATCTATTACGTTAATTTTACTCTCATCGTTAATTTATTATTAATTTCCAGTGCAATAATTATTTTTTCACATTTTATTAATAACTGATAAAGACAGTTTCAACTATTAGTTAATTAAGTGATCTCATATAAATAAACACGTGTTGTGACTCCTGTCTTCCTCAATATACAGTTTTCGGCCATTTTTTTTTGGTTTCATTTGTGTATCGATCGTAGCAGTGACATATACGTATTATTTTATTTTTTCTGTGCATCTATTACGTTAATTTTACTCTCATCGTGAATTTATTATTAATTTCCAGTGCAATAATCACAATGTTAGTTACCATACTCCTCCGAAACGGCTTGACCGATTTTTATGAAATTTTATATGCATATTCAGTAGGTCTGGGAATTAGCTACTATCTATTTTTCATACCCCTAAGGGGTAAGGGTTGTCCACCCCTAACATATTTTTTTTATTTTTTGGGACATTTTTTTTATTGTTTGGTATTTAAAAATACCCTTCTACCATCAAACCTTATTTTTATGGCGGTACGAAGTTTGCTGGGTCAGCTAGTATATATATATATATGTATTTTTTTCATAACGAGGTAGGCAAATGACTCTACTCCACCTGATGTTAAGTGGTGATAAAGTCCAAACGCGAAGATAGCTGGTACAGCAGTTAAAAAGTGCCACACCAACCATCCTCACCTTGCCGGCCTGCAGAAATGCTTCTTCACGCCTCTCGTTAAAGGACCACAGGTTATAGGAAGGAGGGAGGGAACACGTGCGCTATAATATATATTAAATATACATACATATATATACGCTAATATACACTAGCGGCTGTCCGCGACTTCGTACGCGTGGAGTTAGTTAGAAATATAGGTTCACTGCTCGTTCCCCGTAGGTGATAGCGTGATAATATGTAGCCTATATGTTGACCCGATGAGAGAAGAGACAAGAGCTGTTTGTTGGAAAAAAACCAACTTGCACGCCCGAAATGACATTGAAATATTCTGCTTATACTTATAGTGTAGACCAGTGATTCCCAAAGTGGTCTATGACAACCTGCAAGGGGTCTACGTCAGCGAAAAATAAATCAATATCAGGTAAGTAGGGGGTCTACCGAACACGGAAAAACATGGCAAGGGGTCTACGACACAAAAAAGTTTGGGGAACTCTGGTGTAGACTGATCACAGAAAGCGGGAACACAAAAAAAAGATAATAGGATATTTGACAAATTTTAAAAAACTCACGTTATTTACTAATAATTATGGAGTTTATAAAAAGCAGATATCATCATTCTATTGTGTATTTCAGTAAAAAAAAAACAATCAATATTAGAAAACAATAAGGTTGCCACGAAAACGTCTCTTTGGACATTCTTCATTTTAGTCTTCGCCATTCCCAAGTTTTTTCGGTCAAGTGTCCATAGAACCAAAAAAAAAACACGACGGGTTGCACTCCGGGAGTGCCGGCAGAAGTGAAAACTTGAATATTAACGTTGTGCATTTTTGATATTTCGGAATGGTTAGGGAATAATCTTGCACGAATTTCTTTAATTATCAGTATAAAAGTACTATCATTTATGTGGTAGAATACAATATTTATTTATTGCGCTATCGTACACAAACATGACAATTTATATTACATTAAAAAGTTTATCTCTCAGAATTTCTCATTTACCTAGCGACATCTATTGTAAAAAAATGCATTTTCTTCGCAATAAAGCTGCCACCTGGACGTCCTAAATAGAGACTTATTATTATAATACGATAAAATAAAATATTACTATGATTCTTCCAATATATTGAAAGTCAACAACCTTTCCAATTTTATTGTTTTTGTCAGATTCCCGATCAGGCCACGTGTCATGACGCGATCAGCCCACGTGTCTTTACGCGAGTTTAACATTTTTTACCCATACAAAAAAGTGTACAACGCCTCTAAAGAAGTTATCACTTTAAAAATCATTTCTTTTTAATAAAGATTTTTTTATTTGTAAAAAAAACTTTTTCTACTTATAAATCGTGCAGATTAATGGTAAAACTATTAATCCTAATGACTTACTTGGCTTTTTGTAACGCCTTTGCCCTCTCCAATATTTCAACTGGTGTTAATTTTTTTACCTGAAATCAAATATAAATATTATTATTACCGTGATAGACTATTCATATTAAAATAGTCTTCTAGGTCTTTGCTTTGCTAATTTTTGATGACACGGGGGGGTGGGGGGTCGAGATGGTGATTACGTCAGCATCATGGACTTAGCCTATTACTGCTGCTCATGAAGCTCATGAAAGCTCGTGAATTTTATTTTATTTTATTTTATTTAAACTTTATTGCAAAATTATACAGCAAATGGCGGACATAATGCCATAAGGCATTCTCTACCAGTCGACCAGTAAGAGCGTAAGAAAAAAACTAATATGACGGGGGCGCAATAAAGACTTTAAGATAAACCTATGATACAAATACTCTTTACAGATTACATACATATAATACACATATATATATATATATATATAAATACATATACACACATACATATATACAATACATACATAACGTATATACGTGAATCAATAAAAAAAACAGAATACATTAAAGGAAAAATGCATATAGGTACCAATGTTAACGTAAGCATAGGGGAGAGGGTGGTTAAGAGCCTTGCTTACAAGGGGGGGGGGGGGGGAAGGGGTAAATAATTGTAATAAATCTGCTTGCGTAATACTTGAACGGCCCCTAAGGCGCAAAGGCAGGCAAACGACTAGACGGTGTAACAATTTTAGTTACCACCGACTATTTCAGGGCGTACATGAGACTCGAAACTTATTTAATTTAAAATCAGGGCGCCGTGATACTGTGATTTGAGGGAGATAAATGAAAATGTCTAAAACAGCAGTGAACAAGATATTATATTGTTAAAAAGATTCAGATCTTATTTCATCATGGTTAAAACTTAATACTAGTCACATTCAAGTTAAAAATACATAGTTATATTTCTTCAAAGATTTTTCTTTTGATTTAAAGCTATTCAAACATTCAAGATCATGTGCTAATACAGTAATACTCAATTTAAGTTTCTTATATAAACAAATTATTAAACAAGTTATAAAATATTAAATTTTGAAAATCTAACAATAAAAATTTGTTATGTACTTATAATGGCTTTATAGTTTACTAATAGAAATCCTTTATCACGTTAAACAGAAATTGTTATCCGGAGTATGCACTGGTTAAATATCAAGAAGTTATAAGTTTTACTTAGCTTGGCAAGATCATGGGAGCATCAGGATCACTCAAATGTCCTCAGGGATGAAGCAGGACTTGCTGTCATCACGTGAACCCGTCACTTTTTTTGCTCAAGGAAGCTTCACAGGCTCATATATATATATATTTCCAAGGAGATTCCAATCAGGATTAAGTAAATGTGACTATTACTGTTATTTATTAGCCAAATTAATGGACCTAGAACCAATTACATATTTTTCTATAATTCAATAAAAAACTAACTGGACCTACAGCCTAACGAATCAAATGTATTGAACTTACCCGTTAATCCGGGGAGAAATAACAAGTATATAATGCACTGACTACCACTGCTAGTCTTAATGCTATTTTCTAAGTATGGTCTTCAAGGTTCTATCAGCCAAAAGAGAGCGAATCTGTTTGTGCACTGCTATTTATAGGCTACTACAACACGTGACAGCGTCATTGCAAATTTCTCTCATATTACCATATTTGGTATGAGGAAGCACACGGACCGGTTTTGCTGACTCCGCCTTTCAATGTTTCCAGAACATTAATGTGACGTCACATCCATTTCCGCATCTCATTCAAAAGAAATTGCACACTAGCTCCCTCTAACTTACATTCCAAATGCAACTACTAGGTTCACACATATATTGTACTTGTCCATTGCTTTTCAAAGTGGATTTCGATATTGAATAATTTATATGCATGATGATAGATGGCGCTGAATAAATAATAATATTTCTACGACTTAATATTTAAGAATTATATTGCTAAGTTTTTAACGTTATTAAATTTAATTGCTACACAACATCCCCCTTATCTCAAAAAATTTTTTTTTTTTCAAAAAATTTTTTTTTTTTTATTAATTAACCTGCAACTGACTTGCAGACAAATCAACAATACTAAGTATTAGTCAAGATAAAAAAATTTAGACTTATATACGTGAGTATCCATTTATTTACTCCACGTAATGTTCTAAACTCTAAGTCAATAGCAACAATTAAATATTTGCTGTTTAATGATTTTTCTTTTAGTTTGATGTAAATACCTTTCTTGGATCTAATATCCAGTGGTATAACATGGCCTTTTTTTTATCTTAAGAACTTAAGGTAGTTAAGAAAACAACTCAAGATTAAAGAAGTTTGTATGTTTTCTAACTCAAAAGATTAAGATTATTTTCCAACAATCTTCCTATCTTTAATTATCAAGTCTAAAGTATATGTCTACTTCCTTATGCTTATGCCTTTCTTACATCAAGATCTATTTTTCTATTAAGTATTAAAATAAATTGCACGTGCTTATTTTGGAAAAAAAAACTTTTCATACATCACGCATTTCATACTACTCTCATACTCATATGCATATCAGTGAACACAACTTGACTAAAATATTTTATTGTTAAAAATATTTCTTTTTGTGTTAAAATATTAAAATTCCACTAAATATATTTAAGTGTTCTTTTAAAAGTGAGAATTTAAGTTAAAAAGGGTTGTCAATAAATATTTATTTAATTAAAAGGAAAAAAAATAATTTAATTTTCTGGCAGGTTTCGAACCGTAGCCCACAGATTTCCATATACACTTTTCCTATACTTCAACTCTTCTTAGCCAACCGATTAATACTGAAAGTGACCAAAATAAGCATCAAAAGGGATTCAAAGGTTTATTAATTTTTAAGTTTGTTAAAAAAAATTTAAGCTATCTTTACTAAGTTAACATTACATTAAAGCAAAAACATCTACGATCAAGATTGGACAAAGTATCAACTGGTGGTGACAATTAAGTGGTTACCACACATTTAATAAATATTTATTCCTTTAGTGGGAAACAATTAAATATTTTCTCATCTTTTGGAACTAAATATTATTAAGTTAAATAATTTTCATTCCTCTGGTGAGCAGCAATCAAGTATCCGCTTACCTTTTGGAAGAAAGTATTATTAAGTGTAAACTTTTGTTCCTTGGGTGTGAAACGATTAAATATTTCCACACCTTTTGGAAAAATTGTCAAGTTTAAATTATTTAGCATTCCCTGGGTGAGTAGCAATTAAGAGTCCACTCCCCTTTTGGAAAATGCTATCAAGTTTAAATTTATTTTTATTCCTTGGGTGGGCAGCAATTAAGTGTCTGCTTACCTTGTAAAAAAAATTATTATTAAGTTTTTACTAACTACAGCTATGCCTGTTGCTGACCGTATAGGGTGCAACATAACATATTTCTGAACTTATATGTTATTACAATTAAATACGTCTTCTAATTTCAAGTGTGTGGAAAAGGTTCAAATAAATCTCAACTACTAGTAAAAAAAAGTTTTAGATATGGGCTTGCCGTATTGACATGTTAATATTATTTCTTTTCTTAGAAATTACACATATTTATATACCAACCATCCTTCATTCCTTTGGTGAGAAACAATTAAATATTTCCTCACCTGGTGGAAAATACTAATAAGCTCCTGTAACTTTTTGCAAGTAAAAAAAGTTACAAGTACCTTACCAATATCCAGAATGCAGGTAGATAAATATATCGTAATTAGGGAAAGTAATTGGAGGTATCAAAAATGTTAAGGTTAGGTTCAATATTAAAAAGTTCCATTGGAAATTAAAGTTATGAATTAAGATTATTTTTAAGTATTTATCAAAATAATTATTAACTAACGACATTCTTAATAGTGTCTCAATATATATATTTTTTAATAAAAGTCAAAGTACTTGGTGAACACTAAACTAAACAGAGATAATTAAATAATCAATCGTAATTAATTTATGAATTGCATATATATTAAATATTTAAGATTTATTAAAAAATTTTACTTTAATAGAGAACTAATCGTCATAATTTGTTTTTTAAATCTATTTCAAAATCAGGAATATCAAAGTCTTCTCTCAAGTTAATTAATAGGTCAGAATATGTATTAAAATTATCTTTATTACTTCTGAACCAAATCAAAGCAGAATCCTCTAAGAGGTCTGAAAATGAAGTTAGCATACGAGATTGCGGAATCTCGCGGGCGTGTCTAATTTCTTCCAATCTTTCTATAAAATTTCTAACGCAAGTAGAACCATCATATTTTAAGTTAAATGAGTTTAAATTAATGCGTCTATCTTTAATTAAGTACACCTTCCTCCTTTCGTTCATCTCGCTCGTTCTCTCACACTCGGGAGTTGCCTCTTTACTACTTAATTCGTCTGAACTACTTTCTTCTTCCTGTTCTACCTGAGCTAAGATACGTATGAGCCTGTGGCGCAAATCCACTAAAGAAGCATTGTCAACCTCCAATCGAGCAAGTCTATCGATTAGATAATTAGCCCTAACTGACACACGTAAGTGAAGATTACTGTCCTTTCCGAGGTCACCTGATGACAGCAGATCCTCGAGCTCAGCAATTTTCGGCGTACATGCCTTGAGCTCGCTTGCCGGGAGTGGTGTGATCACTGGAGCACACTTGATGCTGCCACGTCTCTTCAGCTTAAAAATTTGGCGAAGCTGCTTTCTCAGTGCATCCACCGATGTGTCAGGAGCTGTGGAAATGCCAAGAATATCCAATTCATATATGATTTCATCCTTTCTTAAGTAGTTTACATATTTTTGTATAGAGAGCATTTTCTCAGATTTTTTCAAGTTAAAGTCAGTTATTTCTGTTACTAAGTTAATTATTAAGTTAATTATTAAATTACGTTTAATCAAGTTTTTAAATCAAGCTACTTATTCAAGTTATTTAATCTAAGAAAGTTAAATACAAAGGAATTTATAAAATTTTTTTTTTTGAAGGAGGGTACTTTTATTATTACAAGTTTCAATTCTTAAAGACTATCTTGTTCACTGTTCAAGGTCAATTTTTTGCGCATCCAATCAATACGAAAGTGTTATTGTAGTATAAGTTGATTAATTCTAATGTGCTAAGTTAATTAATGCTAGTGTGTTTATTAAAGTTTTCTAAGTTATTAAGTAATTTACTTCTAATGTGCTATTCAGACTGATTGGGGATTTTAAGCATTAAATTTTTTCACCAATCTTTTTATCATCATATTAACACATTAGTACAAATTCTGAATATTAATGATTTTTAAGTTAAATTTTTTTTTTGATTAGATGTTAAATTCTAGTGTGCCGTTCAGACTGATTGGGGATTTAAGCATTTATTTTTCCGCCAACCTTTTTATCATCATATCAGCACACCAGTATTTCCCTCAAATACAGTATTTTATTGCTCGGCCCTAAAGTTGGTCGCCATTTTGTAACAATTTTAGTTACCACCGACTATTTCAGGGCGTACATGAGACTCGAAACTTATTTAATTTAAAATCAGGGCGCCGTGATACTGTGATTTGAGGGAGATAAATGAAAATGTCTAAAACAGCAGTGAACAAGATATTATATTGTTAAAAAGATTCAGATCTTATTTCATCATGGTTAAAACTTAATACTAGTCACATTCAAGTTAAAAATACATAGTTATATTTCTTCAAAGATTTTTCTTTTGATTTAAAGCTATTCAAACATTCAAGATCATGTGCTAATACAGTAATACTCAATTTAAGTTTCTTATATAAACAAATTATTAAACAAGTTATAAAATATTAAATTTTGAAAATCTAACAATAAAAATTTGTTATGTACTTATAATGGCTTTATAGTTTACTAATAGAAATCCTTTATCACGTTAAACAGAAATTGTTATCCGGAGTATGCACTGGTTAAATATCAAGAAGTTATAAGTTTTACTTAGCTTGGCAAGATCATGGGAGCATCAGGATCACTCAAATGTCCTCAGGGATGAAGCAGGACTTGCTGTCATCACGTGAACCCGTCACTTTTTTTGCTCAAGGAAGCTTCACAGGCTCATATATATATATATTTCCAAGGAGATTCCAATCAGGATTAAGTAAATGTGACTATTACTGTTATTTATTAGCCAAATTAATGGACCTAGAACCAATTACATATTTTTCTATAATTCAATAAAAAACTAACTGGACCTACAGCCTAACGAATCAAATGTATTGAACTTACCCGTTAATCCGGGGAGAAATAACAAGTATATAATGCACTGACTACCACTGCTAGTCTTAATGCTATTTTCTAAGTATGGTCTTCAAGGTTCTATCAGCCAAAAGAGAGCGAATCTGTTTGTGCACTGCTATTTATAGGCTACTACAACACGTGACAGCGTCATTGCAAATTTCTCTCATATTACCATATTTGGTATGAGGAAGCACACGGACCGGTTTTGCTGACTCCGCCTTTCAATGTTTCCAGAACATTAATGTGACGTCACATCCATTTCCGCATCTCATTCAAAAGAAATTGCACACTAGCTCCCTCTAACTTACATTCCAAATGCAACTACTAGGTTCACACATATATTGTACTTGTCCATTGCTTTTCAAAGTGGATTTCGATATTGAATAATTTATATGCATGATGATAGATGGCGCTGAATAAATAATAATATTTCTACGACTTAATATTTAAGAATTATATTGCTAAGTTTTTAACGTTATTAAATTTAATTGCTACAACGGATGCAGGCACAATACGATACACCGGTTCTCGCACCGCGCCCCTGCCTCACCCCTTTGTCGCCTACCTGTAAACTGTTCACAGATAGGCGACAAAGGGGTTAACATGAGTAAGTTACTAACTCATGTTTAACTCAGGTAGTAAATTCCGACAATTACTTTTATTTAATAACAATAGGATATTTGTTGACATCCAAATGTTATTGTTGCATCCAATAGGGTATTTGACAGTTTTTAAAATAAAGTGCCAATTGTTAGCATCTGTGTTTAGAATGACTATTGGCAGGGGATTTTACTATTTTTACAAAATAATATATTCATAATTTTACTAAAAACTAACGAAAAAGATAATAGTTTTCTTATCTATTGTCACGTGACCCAAAACGCTTGGGATTGGCGGAGCCTAAAATGACGTCACACGCAAGTAAACTTCCGGTTAAAGTGACATTACATTGTATCGTTTGACGTTTTAATAACAGTCGTGTGACGTCACACACTAGTAAGACGCCATATTGTCCAGAGAAACGTTTTCGCGGCAACATGAAAATAGAGTTTTTAATTTGGTTTTTTTTACTGAAAAACACAACAGAATGATGAATATCCACTTTTTACGGACTCCATAAACATTAGTCAATAACGTGAGATCGTTTTCTGAAACTTGTCAAATACCCTATTAGCGTTCTTGCAATAAATTTTGGTTAGTTAACAATCTAATTAACTTTAAGAATGAAAAAAATGCAAAAAAAAAATTCGATACCAAATGGCTAATTTTAAGATTTTTCCACCTCACTGTCTTTGAAGTCCGATTTTAGCAAAAGTAGCCTTTTAAGTACTACTTTTTTTTAATGATTACGAAGGTAGAGAGCTTGGCGTATTTTTTTAATTTACTTAGGAGCTATGAAACTACCTATTAAGATTTTAAATTTAATGTTGAAATTTGAAGACATAATTCACTGACCATAATATTTTGACTTTGCACCATCATTTTTTAAACTTCCATCATAGTTACGAAGGCAAAGGTATGAGTCATTAAAGTACAATTCATGTAAATTGAGTTGCAAAAAAATATTTCGAAAAAGACATCCAATTTTTTTATTAAATTTTTAAGTTGTTTAGGTCAATAATTCTCAAAATTTTAGTAAAAAAATCCTAAATAGGGGTGTTTCGGATTCTCCAAGGGGTGCTCAATCTCGGGACTACCGCTTGACACTATTTTTGGGACACCCTGTATATGTTCTGCATCTATTTATATTTATCTATTCTATATCTAAATATTGTATTATAATATTGCGTGGTAGAAATCCGCCACTTCCACAAACAGGGGTTTTTTGACGTTGGCAGAAATCTGCCATTTATCGTTAACGTCGAGCGTTAATTTCCAATAGTGGTACATCACTATTTAAGAACCGCAAGAAACCGGCAACACAGATGTCATTTTTGTGACAGAGTTTAAAAAAACAGAGTATATAATGCGATTCAACTAAGAATAGGACCGAATGGGCGCCATATTGTGACGTCATAGCTGTCTATTCAAACAAAATAGGTAGAGTGAGCAAAAACAGTTTTTATTTACTAAGATTGTAATATATATTGATAAGTGAGAAAGAAACATAAGATTTTTTAATAAAAGTTAGAGAAAAAATACAACCGATTTTAATAATATTTATTTATTAAGACTGTGTGAAAAAAAACATTAAACAGAATCTAGCTCTTCAATTCCGCTCATCTCTGCATTACCGCCGGAGTAGTTATGAATAATCATGTATTATGGCTAGGTCACATACGAAAATGCATCCTTTATGTAAACGAAAGTTTTAAATCGAGTTCATGAACGCAACTTAAAGTGACACTTGGTTGATGATTTAGGTTATCAAACAGTCATAGCTAGCCAAAGCTCAAAAAATTAAAAAAAATATTAAACAATATTAATTATTAATATTTGTTATTGTTTGTTTACAAAAATGTTTGGTTTTTATTCTAGAATTAGCTGAGTGCTAATAAAGGGTTCCAAGTTTTTTTTGAAACTGTGCTTTTCAAGCGACATTTGACAGATGGGAGGTCATTGGCTTTCCTATTCTTATTTGAATCGCATTATAGATAATTATATTTCTTTGAAACTATGGTACGGTAAAATAATAATAATAAGAAAAAAGTTTATTTAAAACACGTACCTTTTCAGCAGCAGGAGTACTCTTCAGAATTTTGACATTGTTATCTGCTAGTTGAATATCATCATCGTTCGCATCAAAACTGACATTCACAGTATGAAGTTCAGTTCCCGTTGTCGTAATATTATCGTTGGGCAAAGAAGATTGTAGGAACATTACTGGGCCCGTATCGCTTTCCATTATCATGTAGTCTTGGTTCTCTGCGTCTGGGTGTTAATGGAACAATAAAAAATATTATAAGTATAAACAGGGGATGAGCTCGATGGCACAAGTGTTTGGCGCGTTCGGCTGCGATCGTTGAAGTTAAGTAACTTTCGCAGTGGTCGGTCATTGGATGGGTGACCAAAAATTTACTATCTCGAGCACCTCCGTGCTTCGGAAGGCACGTTAAGCCGTTGGTCCCGGCTGCATCTGCAGTCGTTAGCACCCGCCAATCCGCACTGGGCCCGCGTGGCCAATGGCCATGGCCCAATCTCCCTATTCCATTCATAGGGAAGGCCTGTGCCCCAGCAATGGGGACATTAATAGGCTGATGATGATGATGATATTATATAGCTAGTCTTGATCGTACTTTTTTAGTAGTTAAGCACCATACTACCTATAATGCGAAGAGATGGTGCTGTCTTGCAGCCTAAGAAATACTAGAAGAAATTCGACACGGCCATTAAAGTCGCGGCAGCATAATTGGTGCGTGCATTCGGCCGGATAGTGGAGGGTGCGCGTTCGAGCCCCGCCTTTAGCCTGGACCGTATGGAATTTGTTGTAGTCAATTTTTCTTTTAAATTAAACATCTAGCTAACACAAATGCTTTAAAAGATTTATTATAGCAAACCAAAACTCTACAGAATTACAATTTCACCAAAAGCTAATGCTATTTCATTGCAAAAGCTAATGCTATTTCTTTAAAGGGTTATTCGCAGTTAAAAAGTTCAAAAAAACAATGACGGGTTGCACTCCGGGTGTGCCGGCAGAAGTGAAAACTTGAATATTAACGTTGTGCACTTTTGATATTTTGGAATGGTTAGGGAATAATTTTGCACGAATTGTTTTAATTATCAGTATAAAAGTACTATCATTTATGTGGTAGAATACAAATTTTATTTATTGCGCTATCATACACAAACGTGACAATTTATACTACATTAAAAAAGTTTATCTCTCAGAAAAATCAACTTACATGAATCACATTTAAGCGCACCTTGCTTGGCAGCTTTATTGTGAAGAAAATGCTTTTTTTTTTTTGGAGGAAAAAGGGACCTGGAGGTCCTAGTTAGAGACTTATTATTATAATAGGATAAAATAAAATATTACTGTTTCGTCCAATATATAGAAAGTCAACAGCCTTTTCCAATTTTATTGTTTTCGTCTTACGAATTTTCGATCAGGCCACGTGTCCTGACGCGAGTTTAAAATTTTTTACCCATTACAAAAACAGTGTACAACGCCGCTAAAGAAGTTTTCACTTCAAAAATTTTTTTACATTATATTTTCGGAATGTACCATATTGATACATTCGGAAAATGCAAATGATGGAGATACACGCATATTTGGAACTACTAACGGAAGTATGTGTAAACGTCTTTTGAAACTTTTTAAATAGGTTATGTCTCTTACATTAATGAAACTCAACAAATTGTGCAAGACTCGAAGGGCTATGTTGAGTAGAATATTCTTTTTGCCATATCATTCCAAATTGGAATTTCCAATTGACAACAACTGAAATGCTATCTCCACATCTGGCCTTCACCGTCACTTAACATCAGGTGGGATGAAGTCATTTATCAGACCAAATCCATAAAAAAAAATGCTTACCTTCGTTCCCTTCATTATCACTGGAAGCCAGAACACAAGTGACAGTGGTCTCTCCATCACCCGGAGTCTCACCGTTGGCCAACAATCTATATGACTCCGTACCATCCTGAGATCTAAACAAACAACCCGAAAAACAATACTATTTTAATACTAGATTCTCTTAAGTCACTTTTTAAGGAATCCCACAAAATCCATAAATTTTTCAGGATATGAAATGAAAATTTAAACTTTAAACTTAAACACTTGATCACAATGACTCATCATAGTTAATTTAAATACAATTTCAATTAAATTTTTGTTGGTTACGGCTGCATCTCATTATGTGATGATTTTGACAATGTTAATTAATTTAAAAAGTATCCTATTATTAGATTCAATCCAGGTAATCAACTGGGTGTGTGCCAAATTTTATCCAAATCCATTCAGCCATTTATTATGCATAAATGGCATGATCAAATGATATTGAATAAAAATCATCCAAACATAAAGAAATTCATATTTGTTATTGTTAAAAAAATAATTTAATTAAATGTAATTTGATATCAAATTATAAAAAAATAATTTACTTAAAATTATTATAACTAAAGTGCATTATATAATATAAAAATAAGTATAATGCACATTCAATTATGATATTGTTAAAGATAAAAAAAGCAGCATTTTCTCAAATCCCCATACACAAACAAACAGACAATCAGACAAACAAAATAATATCAATCACTCACTTCACCAGTGTCAGATTGAGTAAATCCAGTGACATCATTGGCTTGTCACCAGCGTTAACCAATTGTATGTATTTAGCGTCACTGCCAGTTTCAAGATCAGATAGTGAGTTCACAACTTCTCCTTGTAACATCTAAAAAGGACACAAAGTTTTATATCATATGAGGTGTTATAAATTATATAGCACCTTGTAACAGAAATAATGAACATACTGAAAGTGGTTTGGTTGGAATTAGCTTCTGAATCGATTTGAATAAAAAAATATCTTAAATATTGACATTGATTTAATATTTGGTAAGAAGAGCTATTTTTAAATGCAACTGTACATCAAATAGTATTTCCTAACATTGAGATATCACTGCTTAAACTGATTAAATAAAAATCAAATCACTAAAATTTATTAATCTTCAATTGCATGACATAGTACTATCAGGTTGTACATTAATTCTGATACTCATTGTATAATAATGTAAATATAAGGTATAAAGATGTCACAAGCATAACATAAAGATTAAAATGAAAATGTTTAGGACATGTAGTGAGAAACATAAAAGAAAAATGTGTAAAACACATCAATATAATGGTATCTGAGAGATGGCAAGAGAAAAGGAAGACAAATTAGAAGATGGGAAGATGACATAAAAATAGTAGGAGGGAGTACTTGGAAACGGAAAGCCAAATGTACAACAATTTGAAAGACATTAGAAGAGGTTAGAATACCCTGGAAGTGCTCCTAGTGACAGGAAAAGTACAGGGAAGGCGACCGAGAGGAAGAAGCCCCTTGCGCTGGACAGACCAGATCCGCGACAATACCAAAACTGGAGTCCGCGATGCACTCCACACTGCCGAAGACCGCAACAAGTGGAAAGCGATCGTTCACAAAATAATTCGTGGAGGTCACGACCCTGAGCAATGAGGAGCACGACACAAGGAGAAGAGGTCTATACTGAAGAGAAGAGCAAGAGGACTTATAATAGATAAAAATGTATATAAATAAAAAAAAATGTAAGAAAGATAACGTCAATGAAGGCTTTTATTGCTTTTAATGTATAATTTTTCTCATAGGGTAGCAGTAGTGCCATTGACAGGCAGATCACACTAGTATTATAAAGGCGAAAGTTTGTGAGTGTGTGTTTGTTACTTCTTCACGTCAAAACGTATGGAGTTAGCTGTCACCGTGGATTAACACATAGGCTATGTTTTACTGCGGGAAAATATCCCTAATAAACTGCGGGTAACACCCCAGGGCACAAACTAGTGATGAAATAAGAGGTTCTTTTTTTCACATTCAGCTAAAATAAAACTCACCACATCTTTTTCAAAAGGCCTCACTTCAACAATTTGCAGCTGTCCTGAAAATTAAAAGAAAAAAATTGTCAAAAAAAGTATTTCTTAAAGTACTAAAATAAATACATGAAACTTAAATTACAAGAAATTATTATGACATGAAATTAGTAAGCTATTCGTGTATTTTTGAATTCACCACACCTTGTTTGTTCTAAAGGGAAGATTTGAGAGAGAAACACCAAAAAGCATACAATATTTAATTAAATTTTTCACATTATAGTTCGTATCATATCAAGTTTTTATTAGGTTGATGAAATTGCTTATTGTCAGCAGTGTAATAAAAGGCAACCGTTACTAACCGATCAATGAACGCTTAGCTCAAACTACTAAACGGATTGCACTGAAATTTGAGATAGCTATTGTGATATAGCAGTGCACTAAGAAAGGATTTTCCAAAACTCACCTTCTAAAGGGGTAAAACAGCGGGTTAAAGTTTTTATGGAAAAACAATATTTCCATGCAGTTGCAGCCACTCAAAACTTAAAAATAAATTGCAAACAAAAGCTCTAGTCACTGTAGAACTTTCTGTACACAATTTTAAGATTTCTCAAGAGGAAAAGAGTCTCACCATCTTTATACTCCGATAGCAGCTGCGCTTCCACCTCAGGAATCTCTTCGTGATCATGTTCAGCCATGGCCAATCTGAGATATACAAAAATAATATGTGTATTTTGATTAACACATTTGATTTAGGGCTCATTTCTTGAGCACTGGATAGAATTCATCTGTCTAATATTGTATTATACAAACAAAATTAGTAGTTGACTAGAGTTAATTGGTATAATGTGACGGATGACATCTCTCTTTTGTTTCAGTATTAATTTATTGAATAGCTAAGTTATATCCAGAGTTTTAAAAAATCAGACTTTAGATAAGTGTGAGGAACTTTATTTGTCAACTTTTACCTAGTGCATTTAAAGCAATATTTGTTATTATAAATAAATTTTCAAACTAGAAACACCATACATTTCTATAATTTGATATTTGAGAAGATACATATATATGTTACAAATATTGTACTGAAACACTTATTGATGTGTAACATCTTTCCTCTCACATTCCTGCAATTTGTGGGAGTGATTTCGTGAAATGGGACGGAAGTGTGTAACAGGTAGTCGCAAAAGCGCATGCTATTTGATTTGATTTTAGAACATAATGTTCAAATGGCTAATTCCTTTTGTAGTAGGTTTTATTTCTTTTTTTACTAATATAAGGTGAGTTTCAAATGATACACATCATACGCGACTACTATAAGTCTCGCTCGTTTTTTTATAGGATATAAAAACTATTTGAAATACATAGCTAGCTTTTCAATATAGTCTTGCACTTAGATTTCCTGATAAATATCTCAGTATCTTACTTTCATAATACAACAAACCCTTTAATGTCTTACTTAATAAACTCTTCAGCAATAAGAGCTTTTTTTATGTTTTAATAGAAACAATGATTCTTTTTTAACCTAGTTCTTGTTGAGAATTTTACTATGAAAACTGTGAACTCTGACAGTAATCATGAACACAATGTTGAGTGAGATGCTGTTTTGCGTGGTCAGAACACCTCAAGATCTCGCTCTCAGAGTTAAGAGTATTCTTTTAAACTTTCATGGTCACTAACATTATAGTTATTAACGGGATTGTTACCATGTACCTTGTTTTTTATGAGTCTCCGATATTTCGGCACTGTTGCTAGCGCCATGACATTACTTCAATTACTCCGTGATCATGGCGCTTGCATGCATTGCATGGTTAGAATCCCGTTAATAGCTATGAAATTAAGAGTATTCTATTAATACAGGCCTAGGAGTACTCATGTCAGCATCATTACTTTCAGACATACTATTCAAGGGACAGGATTGTGAAGTTGTGTAGAAAATTATTGCAGCTGTTAATTTATTTTACTTTGCCTTTTTATGTTTTATAAGATTATACGTTCATAGCGAGTACCAGAACCTATTCTATTCTATTCTATTTTTTGTAAAGGCTGGCTGTTGTCTCCTTAGACAATTCTGCCAATGTCAGGGTTGAGTACTACAGATGATCAGTTTTTTTTTTCAGTTTTACGTAACTTCCACTATTGGCCGGTTGAGTGACCTAAAAGGGTTATATAAAAAGGTTATAGACGACACAATGACAAACACAACAGTTACAGATAAAAGCGTTAGTAATAAATGGGATTTTAAAATTTACAATTTAATTTTATTGGTGTGTATATACTTAGCAAGGACTTGGATGAAGGGAGAGTCCACCATGGTTAGTAAGTGGTTTACATTCACAGGGCGGGCGATATTTTTAGGCAGTATATCATAAAGAGAGATGGTATTTTTTGGGCAATTGAAAAATATGTGATTGACGTTTCCTTCGTCAAGACCACATTCGCATAACGAATGGTCCCTAACCCTAATTTTCTTTAAGAAGACGGGGGAGCATATGTGACCAAGACGTAAGCGAATAATGGTAGAAGTGGAGATTTTATCCAAGAAGCGGTATTTAAAAAACCACGGCTTAGAGGGAAGAAAAGGCTGCAGACTTCTATAATGTTTCCCTTTGAACTGCGAGGAGTCGTCCCAGTGTGCTGACCATTCGCGATGTGATTCGGCTTTAGCTTTGCTTCTTAGATCCTGGGGCAAAGCATTTATCATAGGTTGGGCAACCCATCGTTACAGCCTCTTTTGCAAGGCTGTCTGCCTTTTCGTTACCTTTAATGCCAGAATGACCAGGGATCCATGAGAAACCAGAACCTATTCCAATGATGTAACTAAACGAAACGACATGAACACGAAACACGTTTGAGTTATCAATAAACATTTTTGTATAGAGGAATAAAAAAGAACAAATTTCTGATAAACGGCACTAAACTAAGAAACCTGAAAATCTTGTATTGGTTGATCTATCTATATTTTATTTATTCTTATTGGATTTTCACAAGATTTTAGTTTAAAAAACAAATTAAATAAAACTTTATAGGTTATGATGATGACAAGTCACTCCCTTAAATTTCAAATGATTTTTGTGGGTTACACTTACTTAGCAACATCATGTTATTATTAATAAAGTTATCTTTAAAACAGAACATTATTTTACGTAAATAAATAGAAGAGTAAACGTCAAAGTCGATGTTATTAAACATTTTTCTTGCAACACTAAAACCAATTTGGTGTTTCTATTTTACTGATATATTTTATTATTATTGCAACAATACTCACATTAAATTTTGGTGGCAACTATTTCAATATTTGTTTCGATCTTGTAACACAGATTACTAAATGTAATCCAACATTTATTGATATCACTGAGAATGTTACAATAATTTCACACGTTCGTAATCTAAAATACGAACGCCATTTCGTAATAAAGAAGTTTTACGTGCGATGTACGCGACAATCGGCTTTATTTTTCTACCAAAAAATGTTGCCATTAGCAAAAAATGCAACTTTTTGAATTTAATAATGTAGAGTCACAATTTATTTAAAATGTAGAGTATTAATTTATATTTTTTTATTATGATTTAAAATATATTTATTTTATTTTGAATTTACACCATCCCGCTAATATGATAAAGCTTTGAAAGATAAAGTGGTAAAGCTGTGTTATTCAGAGTGACGTCATACCAAATCAGTCCATCCTATTCTCTCGTAGGCTAAGAGATGAAAAAGATGTTACGCCATTAAATCAATGTTTCCGCGCAAACACTATTGTAGACTCGCCTTTGTTGTGACGTACTAACATCAACTCATCTCTTTCACTCTCATTACTATACCATTGAATGACTCTAAAAAAAGAATTTCATCAATTTATGCAACTATCAACAACATATTGAAACAAAAAAAATGAACATAAATGATTGAGTTCACCTTTATAATGTCCAATGAATGCTCAATGCAATAATTATTTCTGGGACGAGATAAAAATTGATTAAGTCCAATACCTGAATCGCGCTAACGAAGTTTTGCTGAGCACTTTGTATAAATAGAATTTATTCAGATGGAGCTTTCGGGGAGTCCGTAGCTACTACGTGGGCCGGTGCCGGCGAGGATCCGGTCTAATTCCTCGCCATCAGATATGTTGAAGCGTTAAGCAATCATATATGGTAAAATATGTCAAATACGTCAAGAAAATGATAAAGAGAGACTCTGGTCTCATCCACACGGTTAGTAGCTGATTTGACTTCCTTTTTTGATCATATTATTATTTTTTATTTATTTATTACATTTTTTTATTACATTAAAAGCTTTTTGATAGCATTAGGTACTATTTTTACTTCGCCTTTTTAAAAAAAAGAAGTGCTGTTTAAGCATATTTTTATTGGAATAAGCGAAGAAAGCTTACCCTGCATTGCAGCTCCAAAAATAGAGTTAAGATTTAAAAAATATAATGAGTGTATTTTTTAAATTAATTGAATATGTATAACTCTATTACAAATTGACTCTACATACATTATCAACATGTTAATAATTTCTCCACATTACCTGCTAACCTTATTATATTATTGTTTAGCCATAAAGAAGGTTGTTTTTGATTTTTCATGTTTAAGTAGTTATAAATAGGTACCACTTGGTTTAGAAATATGGTGCTATAAATCGCGACTAATGTTCGGGTATAGGTATATTATTAATCTAAATCGGGATGTAGAATCTTTCTTTTATATCTTCTTCTTTTATTTATATATAATTACTTAAGGTAGATAAATACTTACATACTGAATAAATCATTTTTCTTTCTATATCTATATTTTTAAGCATATTCGAACCCGGCCGCTCTGCTCATCTGTTACTAAACTAATTATACCAGGTATTACTTAAGTGTTTCTATTTTGAATAATCATTCACTCCTCATATTGAAATACATTCTTTATAATCCATATAATATTTACAAATTCTAAATTCATAGCAGTCGGTTGTTATTAAACGCTATATTTCTGAGTTTTTTACGGTTAACAGTACCGAAGTTTAACCATTGTTATCGTAAGATGTCAGTCATATTAGACCCAGTGGCCTACATTACCTACATGATTTATAAACCAATTTAGGTTTTATAGATATATAACCTCAAACGACATTATCAATTATAAGCAAATATATTACCCAAGCCAAACACAAATCAACAATTGGAAACTCTACATTTCTTGCATTTGTGGAAATAAACAGGTACTTAGGTACTTAACGGCTGTTTTACAGTTTGTTAGATTGCATTCTAAAGATGGCAGTACACGATATTACTGTTTACATAAAGAAATAAAGGAAAGTCATCATCATCATCAGCCTCTTTATGTCGCCACTGCTGGAGCACAGGCCTTCCCTATGGATGAAATAGCGAGATTGGGCCATGACCCACCACGCGGGTCCAGTGCGGATTGGCGGGTGCTAACGATTGCAGATGCAACCGGGACCAACGGCTTAACGTGCCTTCCGAAGCACGGACGAACTCGAGATAGAAATTTTGGGTCACCCACCCAATGACCGACCACTGCGAAAGTTGCTTATTTACAACGATCACAGCCGAATGCGTTAACCACCTGCGCCATCGAGCTCCTCAAAAGGAAAGTAAGTAATAAAAAAGTTTTTATTTATGTAAATGTTTGATTTGAAATAAGGTATTACGTATGTAATAATTTATTTGAAATATTCGATTTTATTATCCAGAACTGGTGCAGCTACTTTTCACGGAAATGAAAAAATAGGAATTCTATTCCTTCCAAAAATAAGTTTTTAACAGCTCTACAAATTGAAATTACATAAAATTGTAGAGATGGAATCTCTATTTCAAGTTTCAGAAAGTTTCAGAAATATAGCGTTTCAAGAAAAAGTTGGAGCCGTTAAGTTCTTAAGTGGAGACCGCGCCTCGGTAAACGTAGTGTAGGACGCCCTGAGACAAGATGGGATGATGACATTCGTAGGCTGGCTGAAGTGGGCTGGATGAAAGTGGCAGAAAATCGGGAGCAGTGGCTTGCGTTAGGGGGGACATATGTCTAGCCAGAAGCGGCGTAAGACGTGGGCGACGTGGGCCACCGCCTACTGCCTCGCGGTACAAGGGGCCTCGCGCCTCAAAAATGTTTATGCATTGCTTAAAAGCGAATTTCTTTATTTTTATTATTTTATAAAATTCGTCTTTAGGTCGCCACAGAACAGGGCCTCGCGAAATCTGTCTTGCCCACATCAAATTTAGGTCTTGCCCCGCCACTGTGTCCAGCAGTGGACGAGCATGGGTTGATGATGATGATGATGATGAGGCGAGAAAACCCATTGTTTACAGTAAATTAAATAGATGATTACCGTTGGTAGTTTCCAACGGTATTTTTAAATTGACCTAGTTATGTACCTATGTTATAAGAGGAACCTAACTCAAGTTCAAAAAACATTTATTTAGTCTAGGCTGTTACAAGTACCTAATTTTGAAGGTCAAGAAGCTACGCCATCGGTTCGCAAAACTACGGCGGGAGATCTTGTACTGAGATAGACCGACAAGAAAATCATACTTCTGAAGTCACCTTCTTTAAGTAGGTATATAACTAGACACATTTCGAATAATTTGTTACTAGATTAACTTGATAAATCGGTGCATTTAACTGTCACTACAAGATATGCATTACAAAGCCAATTTCTTTAAAAAAATGACATCTGAAACTTTGATTAATTTCTGCTACTACCGAATGGAAGACTCTACTCGATTTGTAAATTTTTCGCTATCTGGGCAACTGCTCTATACCTACCTAACTTCCGTTTCTCTCATGTACAAGAAATCAGTTAAAAATAAGAAAAGCAATAACATAGAATTTAGAACGTAAAAAAAGGAAGTCAACGCTGTTATATTAAACTTTTAAAAAGTTTTTACCTAGCAGTTAAAAAGAAGATTTTATAATATTAAAAATAACATTAAACAAACATAGATAAGAAGGCAAAGAGGAAGTCAAAGACGCTACATAGAAATAAGTTAAAAAATAAGAACAGCAATAACATAGATTTTAAAAACCAAAAAAAGGAAGTGAACGCTGCTTTAATAAACTTTTAAAAACTTTGTACCTAGCAGTTATAAATAGTTTTTATAATACTTATTAAAAATAACATTTAATAAACAAACATAGATAAGAAAGGCAAAAAGGAAGTCAAAGACGCTACATAGGTGTGTGTGAGAAGAAATTCTCGTATTCATTTTACAGAATGATTGACATTTTTATTAACCGTTTTATATTTAACCCATACATGACGACATAGAGACGACATATTCAGATGGCGGAGGCTTAAACCGGCCCCCCGCCACGACCGGTTACCCTTGTAGCACAGGACTCCCCGACTTCACTGTGCAAACATTCATATTTATGCAACCGCAAGGAAAAACTTCGTAAGCGCGATTTAGGTCTGTTATTCTCATTGGTTGTTAGCGTGACGTAGAGTTACGTGCTACCGTAATAGGAGTAATAAGTGTAACGGGAGTGGAGGTTTATGCATAAAGAAGCAATGGTTATTTTCAAGATCCAAACTTCGAGAGAAGTTGTTTACTTTCGATTGATTTAAGAAAAAGGATTTGATATGCAATATCGCGTTAGTTCTATAAAACATCAATAGCCGTCTTTGTTCCTTGAAGGAATAGTAGCCATTATTATACATCTAAAATTAAAACTGTAATTGCGTTATCAATTCCGTGATGAATCTAGTTTTATTTAATTTTTACACCGAAATTAATTTGTGGGTTGACTGTTAGAGAACGCATTTAGCTTTAAGTCCACCTGCTTTGTTAAATTATTTAATATGAATAGTTGATTACATATTTAAAAATTGTAAATAAATCAATTCCAACAATAGTAATTTATCTATGGATTGATTCTGTCTCTTGGAGAAGTGTTAAAAGAAACTTAACGCTCAAAATTGCAATATCAACTCAATGACTTGATATTGAAATTATTAATGAAACAATTCTGAATAATATATGATATATTTGTTTCTTAGGTTTTCACGCAAATCACTCATGAAATTAAACAGTTTTAACATTAAATTTAAATATGTACTGAATTTACTTATTTATTGACTTCGGAATAAATAACTATACCGACGACGCATCCCTGAGAAGGATGCGAAACGTCAATAAATTCAGTATATATAAACCGTTAAAACTTTTTTATTAAATATGATTATGATAAACAATGCTTCTTCTCGCTTCAAATCGTCCATCTATTTATATCCAGCGAATTGAATCGACCTACGCTACGCTTACCTGGATCTAACGTCACGACATGCGCTCTATGTAGAGTCGATGAACAACACTGCAGGTTATTGATCGTTAAGGGGCCCATATACAGAACGATTGATCTGTACGATCCGTCGTTTCAGACCAATCGAAACGATGGATCGACAGTGTATGTCAAGATCATTAACGATTTACTTAATCGCAGACGATATCGGAGA